CTCTCTCTCTCTCTCTCTCTCTCTCTCTCTCTCTCTCTCTCTCTCTCTCTCTCTCTTGCAAGCGGATGAGCTTGTCTCTTATACTTGGTCCTGCGCATTTAAACGTAAACGTCCAGTTGTCGATCCGTCGTGGACTTGTCAGGTCGACGCAAAAGGCCGGCTGATAAGGTTCGCGGTTAACAGGCGAGCATAAGCGCTCGAAGCTGTCCACGTGGCGATCTCGAAGCCACGTCGCGCGGGCCGTCACCTCCAGGTTGCGTTCGGTGGCGTAACCAGCTCGCCTATCGTGCTTTCCCGATTCAAAGATTTACCAGTCTCCGGTTATGTTTGATGCACCATTATGTTTTCGATTACGGTAGGTTAGTTGCATCCATAACGTCATGTCTGTCGTCAGCACACGTCGCCGATACGTCAAAGCCGAGGAATACGTAATTGTTCGCGAGCTGCGTGGAAAACGCGTACGTCATCGACCCGACGACTGATCTCTACACGCACACGGTCGCACGAAGAAACGCTCGAAATATGTCGTATCGTCGCGAAGAGACGCTTTTCCTACGATTTTATTGTGCATTCTTAGTACGAATAATGTCTAATTAATGAAATTATTAATGTTTTAGATAATGTTTTAGATAATGTTTGTAAGAAAGCTTGGAAAATTGAAGGACATGCTCCATGAACTGGACTTGCCATCTTCCTCGAGTTTGCAAATTTTCGTCATCCTAACGATGTAACATATTATACATATAATACTAATATGTGATATGTAAAGTATTTATGCTTGCAAATTGCATTATCCTCAGTTCCTGCACTTCTCAATATAATTATCTCTTTTTTGTTTAGCGCATCAACAAAATTTTAACAACAGAATGATATTTTTATCATTTCGAATGCTCATATTGGTATTTAATGATAATATTAATATTTCATATCTAGCGATACTTCAATTAGATATAATCTTTATACACCAAGTATAACGTTATTCTTTCGGTGATAGTACGGCGCATTCACACACTATCACACATACGTCACGGATAGCTCATCGAGTGCAGATAAATTTGTTGGTAGAAGATAGCGAGTTGGTAAAGTCGACACCGAGGATATTTTTGTAACAGCGAAGCAGAAGTGGCAGAAGCTAGCTTCTATGCATATAATTATTGTAACGTCAGCGATTTCTCCTTGATGTTGCGTCGCATGCAATCATATTACGCGCACAAGCATGCAACATGAATTGCGATTGCACGATGTAGTTCTGAGAGAACTTGCATATGTAAAAAGATAACTGCATGTGCAGAATAATATTTGTTCATAGACTCTATTGGCTCATTTGATGAGTCAAATTGTCTTTAGAAATACAATTTTAATGAAATAAAAAATACAATTTTAAAGTAGAAAGAAGATAAGATGCAATTAATGAAAAGGTATTATTTACACAGAATATGCATTTTTATACGTGTATATATTTACAAGAGAGCTGATATATAAACATCATTATATCGGAATAATAACCACGATATAAAATTGGTCGCCCATTTGCTGCGCTTATTCAAAGGTAAGTCTATTTCGCTGGCAGTAACGTAAAAGTAACATATATCTATACTACAAACAGTTCTATACATTTCTTACTTGACTTAGGAGAGAATTTTATATATCCTACACATTGAAAGTAGAAAAGATGACGATGGTTGTTCTCCTCACTAAACCCAATAGGCAAGTATCGTTCGTTAAATGCATTCGAATCGAGCAGGAGTAGTTAAAAAATTAGCACTAGATGAAATTGTCAGTAAGAAGACGAAATATATGTACAAGACATATAACTTGATATTATTTTAATCGTATACAGGATGTCTGACAATCATTGACACATTTATTTGTTTGCAAAATTCCTCTACTATTTTACAAGCAACTACGTAAATTTTTGGATCGTTAATTAAAGAAGATTGGTGCACGATTGTGCGCGCTAATGCACTAACCTTTTTTAATTAATAAATAAAAATCTACATGGTAATTTGCAAAATAGTAGAGGATATTTTTGTTTTGTTTGGCCTAATATACACGGCGACGGATGTCGCCATCACAGCTCATTCACTTCATTCAATCTTCTTTAATTAATAACTCAAAATTGTACGTGGTTTGCGAAATGGTAGAAGAATTTTGTGAGTCAGTTTGATGAGACCTACCTGCAGACAACGGGTGTATCATGAACTGTCAGGAGCAGCCTGTATAGATACGCGATATATAAAATTATATGGATATACAACATATAAAATTGTTATTTCATGATCGAAGATATATAACTCTAGAAGTATATATAACTCTGTATATATAACATTTGCAAAATAAATAATTATACTATATATTGTATTATACTACAGAAGAGAGTCTACAGCATCGATTTCTTTAAGCAGTTACGACGGCGGAGTCGCGCTGTCGGATCGAAGTTGCGACGGCGCAGCTTCGCTGTACGCGATATCGAAGACACTTTTCTTCTCGAGGAGCTGCTGATGTCGCAGGCGACCGCCGCTTTGGAGCTGTACGATCTCGTCTGTCCGTAGCTCGCCCTGGGATTGCTCGCACTGCGACGTGGACGGTTGTACCTCGAACGATCTCTCCGGCGACAGCTGTGGCGACGGATGCGGCGCCGGAGGTGGATGCAAGTAAAACGGCGGAGGTACCTTCTCGTATTTGTACTCCGAGTGTTGCAGCAGACGATGCGGCTGCGTGTCCGACGTGGAGACCGGCGGTGTTCTGGTGAATATCTGGATCGGCGGGTCCTCCTTGAGATTGCCCTCGGCTCTCCTCAACTGCCGACCTTGACGCACGATAGCCTTCAACTGTTCGGACTCGACGTTCACCAGAGGCTTGATCTTGCGTCTCGTGCGCGGCGTCATCTCCGGAGTTTTGTGCTCCACGTCAAGTCTGCCTTTCGATTTCGTCGTCTGATGTCTCAAGCTTCTGCTCACCCAACGAGGCAATTCTTCGTCCTCCGCAGCCTTCTTCTCTAGCTTCTTCTTCTCCGCTTCCTCGCGTTTTTTGTTGTACCAAGCCATATACTTGGACCGGGTTTTGCTCATGTCGATCTCGCCAGTTTTCACAGGAATCGCGGGTTTCTTGTCCGTTTTCGACTTCGTTCTCGGCAACACCTGTTTCCGCTGGGGCTCCTCTTCTTTTCGTGATTGTTTCTGCGGTCCGACGTCTTTCTTCTTTTGCTTCTCCGAATCGCCGTCGATATCCCTGCGGGATCGACGACGCGACTGAATCGATGTCGCTCTTGTCTCCGATTCTTCGTCGAGGATGCGCTTCTTCACTAAGGGTGAAGCAACCTTCGATCGCTCGGGTTTCGTTTTCCTTTTAATGGGACTTTGGAAAGTTCCTTTTTTCGCAGCATGCCTCTCCGAGATCGATGGTATGTCGCTTTTGCTGTCCTTGCTTCTTGTTTTGTCTTCTTCAACATCTTTAACTTCTGTTTTATGTCCTTTGGCATCTTCGACACTTGCTCCGTCTTCTCTCGAATCCACTTGTGCGACTTGCCTTGAAAGCGACCTAATTTTGCTTTTGTCGTCCGGCTTCTCGGAAACTTCCTCGACTTTCCTATCAGGTGTCTTACCCGTACTTTCCACATGCTCTTTTGTCACCGACATACTTTCATCCTCGACTTTTTGTCTCGAGGCGTCTTTTAGTCCCGTAATATCTACAATCGAGGTAACTTCAGTTTGAATCGTTGTCAATGCCTCTTTAATATCTCCTTTTATGCCTGTTTTCATTTCTACGACTTCCTCGAATTTTGAGTGGAGATCTCTGTCTTGTCCATCCTCAACGATTATCTTTTCCGCGCCAGAAACGGACATTATTTCCTCCTCACCGGAGAACATCTTTTCAGCCAGAAGAAACCTTTCAGTGGCAATTTCTGCATCTTTCGCTCTGTCATCGATTGGTTCTTCGATCGTGGTTGAATCTTCTACACTCTCGATTTCCTCGAGTGATATATTACTGTCTGTGTCCTCTTCTGCTTCGATTTCCGCTGCCATTTTTTCGTCACCGACGATACCCGGCATTATCGCTATTTCAAGGCTTTCTTGTTGCTGCCATTTTTGCCTATGGCGTGGAGTATCATAAGGTCTTGTGGTCAGCGTTGTTTTCCTGGAAACATCACTGGATGAGTCGCTCTCCTCCGATATCTCAAGTGTATCAATAATGCTGCTAAAAATTGGATCGCTTACGTCTACTCGCTGCTCTGCCTGGTCTTGGTCTTGTGGACCTGCGGTGTCCACGTTCTCAGCGACTATCTCAGCTTTGTCCACTGTGTCTACCTGACCGACAGCTGATTTCTCTACATTCAAATCTTTCGAATGTTCTCTCAACTCATCAGGAAAGTCTTTATCGAGTGCTTCTTCCATTTTTTCATCGAATCTTTCTTTTATTTTGAGTGATTCTTCCTCTTCCTCTTTCTGTTCTTCGCGAAGTGATTCTTCTTTCACGTCCTCTGAATGTTCAGCTTGTGATTGTTCTGTGTCCGCAACTTCTTGCCTGGAAGTGGTAACTTCCGTCGCAGATGTCGAAAGCTCGGTCTTATCAGTTTCATCTAATTTCGTTTCTTGAAGGTTAGGTGGCTCTTGAGAAGATATGTGAGATATTTCTTCATAACTTCCAATTTTTGTCTCTGTAATGGGCACATGCTTTACCTTGTTTGTATCGGTGTCTTCTATCGCAACATCCGTTATTTTACCAGGCTCGGTCTGGATTGAACTTTCTTCCGATATTTCTTGACTAGCTTCATGAACGTCTGTCAACGTTTTATCGCTTTCCTCGATTACAGACGCAGGATGAATATCGATTATATGCGCAGGCTCACTTTTAGATGGCTGACTAATACCAGACACTTCCTCGAACATCTGTATCGTTAACTTTTCATCCTCCTGTGCTTTCTCCAACTCGGATTCCGAAGTTACGGGTTTTTCTAAAATCTCATCTAATTTCTTGGCAGCATCTTGATGGTCATAGCTATCTGTCGTTATAATCTTCGTCTCCTTCTCCATGTCGCTTTTAATTCCATGTAACGACATATCTTCAATTTCTCTTGGCACTAATTCCTCCGCTATTTTTCGTACAGTATCCACAGTGCTCTCTGCTGAAGGCGCCTCCTCTTCACTATGTTGTTTCGACTCACGTCTGGACTTTCCTCTCAGATTTCTTTCTTCCACATGTGTTTCTGCAGTTTTATCTTCTCCGTTTGAATGCGATAAACCTGTAATTTCTTTAATATCTTTTGAATCTTCGTCTATTTTTGATAGTAATATATTAGCATCACTATAGAATCCATTTGGTTTAATTTGTTCTTCTTCTTCTACTTGTTCTGTGTATTTTTTAGAGTCGCTTAACATTTTCGGGCTTTCTACATGTTTCTCTTTTGCATCCACTTCCTTCTTCGCGCTTTTTTCATCATCTTTCAAGACTTGTAATTCATGTACTTCTTTTTCTGGTGTAACTTCTTCTCTTTTTGTTCCTGTTTCGGTTTCATGTAAAGTTTCATGCATTTCTTCTACATGCTTTGCAGTCATATCAGCTAATTTCTCTCTGTCGGCACACTTGCTGCAATGTAATGTCGATCTCTTTATCCGATGTTCTTCTAACGTTTGTTGAACAGTAGAATCTAAAGGGACGGTCTCCTCGCTATCCTCAATTTGTTTTACGCGACGAGTTTTAAACAATTCTGTTTGCTGCATCTTCACGGCATCCAATGTCGATTCGTCTTTGAGTTGGGCATATTCCAAATCTTGAAGAACCGCGACATCCTCAACAACTTTCTTTAGAGTAACGTGTTCTTTCCTGAAATCGGGAGATACACCGCGTCCGGTTTCAACCTTACTTTCAGTATCAGGTGGCGTTTCATGTTCCACCTCTTTTGTCCGTGTGTCTATTGTAAAATCGTCGGAGAATTGGTGCATTATTTCAGCGTCCCTTGCATCGTTCGCAATGTCTTCTTTGTATATGCTCGCACCCATCGCTGAATGAAGCGCATTTTCCTGATCAATACTTCCCATCTGCCGTTCCGTCACAAAATCATCAGTGAACCTCTTGCTCACGCGGCCCAGTTTTCGCTTCGGTTCTCGTTGATCCACGTGATGAGATATTGATGGAACGTCTGAAGACTCCGTGCTCTTCTTGTCGGAATCTCGAGTGGTAAACGAGTCTTTCTTGCTATCCACTCGATCGGAGCTCGTGCTCGTGCTGTGTTCCTCCGGGATGTTTTCCCTACGACCGATGGCTGCCAGCTTTTGTGCGCGCGACAATAATTTTACGGCAGGTTTCTCAGTTTTCGATTCTGGCAATGCACTTTCTTTACTCGCAACATCTTTGCGTTTCTCGACTTCTCGATCTCGCTGTGAGACTTGCTTTTTGTGCTCCTTACGCTCAATTTGTGTCTGCGTTTGTCTCTTCACTTTCGTATGACTGCGGCTGCTTGCCTGCTTGTGCTTCGCAACTTCTTGACGAAATCCCGCCTTCGATTTTTTCGGCTTGTCGAACGTGTCGTCGTATTCGGAACTGCCAGGACTCATGATCTGTGGTTGTTGATATTTGAATTTTTGCCGCGTTTTCGTGGAGACCGCCGCCTCTTTCATTCTACTTGGCGAGGTCTCAGAACGTTTGCGCTCGTCTGTTTTCGTCTTCAGTGTACTTTGATCTGAGTCTTTCGACGACTTCGACTTCTCTTGGCTCGTGCTGTCGTCCCCTGTGGTCTGCTGTATCTTCTTATCGGCCAGTTTACTCAACTTCTTCGTCAGCATTGTGATCTCTCTCTCTAAAATCCGAAAGCTTGGTTTTATGACGGACTCCACCTTCTTCTCTTTCTTCACTCTACTCTCCTTCCTCGAGCTTTTCTTCTCCGTCGTTTTGCGAATGTACTGACCGTTATCGATACTTATCTCCGGCGACGACCAGACTCGTTTCTCGCCGAAAATTGTCTCATATCGTTGTTTACTTACCTCTGTTGACGATGACGAGCCGTTCTTCTCGCCCAGTACTTTGTATCCGATGCTACTCTCTTCAGAGGGTTTTTCTTCAGCTCTCGATTCAGCTCGCGATTTTCCTTTCTTCTCCGGGTAAGAACTCCCGTTCTCGTCGAGGGAATCCGAAATTTCACGCAGTATTTTAGGCTCCAGAGACACTCTGCGGCCTTCCTTTACTTCCTTAACTTTCTTCCTCAAGATATTTAGTCGCTTATCGAAACATTCACTCTCCTCTTCCTCGATGGGTGACTTCATCCACAGTGTGCGTGTTCTCTTCGATTCACTCTCGCCGTAGCGTTTCTTCTTTGTTTTCTTGCGACTTCGACTCTCCTCGTCGGACTCATCGTTATCACTTCTGCTTCTAACCTGCCGTTCCGTCTGTGTCGCGGCGGCTCTATCTGTCTGAGTCGCGATGGCGACCTGTCCGGGAAGACTTTGAGTCTCCAGGTAACTCGCGGCGTCCATCATTATCGCGCCGCCGGCATGCCTAGATTCTCTTTCCAGAAGCAATCGCGTCAACAGGGCGTTTTGTCTTGCCAGCTCCAGATCATGAAACGCGTACGACTGCACCGGCGTGGAATGCTCTTTCGGGATGGCTGGCCTATCTGTAGACGATATTCCAGGCACACCTATCGAGACCTCTTGACGATGCACGTCGCGAATATGCGACTCTGCGTCCATTGCCATTTTCTGTGTCTCGTATGTATCGTCCATTGCCATTTTTTGCATGCCGGGTCCCATTTCATCTACATGTCGATGCGATCGGAGCTCCAGTTCCTCTGGCAGTAGAAGGATTTCTTGTTGATGCTGATATAAGTTCTTCGGGCGTTGATGAGATTCAACGGTGCGTACCAACTCAGGTTCCTGCATCGTCACTTCGTGCCTCGCTTTCTGGTCCTGCATAAACCGCTGTAGAAGCACATCCTTGCCATCTATGATCAGAGTCGTCGGATAATGAGAATGTTGGCTCAAGTGGTCGTCCTCCACTTGTCCCCGCGTTACTAACTGAAGCACCTCCGCATTGCCCTCACGATAGAAGTGTTGTTCTCTCACAGCTGGTTCATTGTTCGACTCGGGATCGACGTATCTGTGATGCAAGTAAGTTTCATTAAAATGCGAATGTCATTAAATATTATTTTTATCTCAATTTAGACAAATTCCACGGCAAAGATATTACGTTTTGTGAAGAGGGCTAAAAGTAAGTAAATAAGATTTGAATAAGATTTTTAATTTTATTCCGATAGTAAAGATAATCATATTTTTGTTAAACTTGTGGTTTCAAGAAACAAAACTGATTCATTAACATTTGTAGTAAAATTTATTCTACACATTAGAGTTTCTAAATTCAAAGAACAAATTCTTGAAATTTGGTTTTCAAGAGTTCAATATTCAAGAAAGAAAGCTTTATATCAATTATAATGGGATTTCCGTGACGAACATTCAACTGTAACATGTTCTAACCACCTTTGTCTGTAATCTTGACGCAGAATATCCGAACCTCGTTCGATTTCGTGTCGTTGCAGGGAATCCGCTTCCGTGGCATCGTAGTCTCTAACTTTCCTCTCCTCGACATCTTCCACGTACATTCTCTCCTGTTCCTCAATCCTCCTCCTCCTCGAAGGATCGTAGGTCGGACCGTCGCGTAGTCTCAGTGACTCCGCATTCGCTTGGTCGATCGGAGGGCGCTCCGAAATGTACACAACGTCACCAGGAAGCGACGCCAAGCCACCGTTCTTCGTATTTCGGCGATTAAACTGCCAGTTTCGTCGGGTTGGATCCGCACTCCAAGCTTGTTTCTTTCCGTTCGACGTAACTGCGTATATTTTTGCCATTTTTATGAATGTATCAAGATGATCTTTTAATTGCAGGCGTAATTATTAAATAGAGATAGTTCCAGAAAAATTGCAGACTACTATAATCATGCAACTAAAACTATAATCACGATAATTCGTCTTAAGGAAGGTATGTATAATTTCTAGAAAGCGCGAAGTAATGAATGAAAAGCGATTACTCTCGATCGCAGCCATCGGTCTTCGATGAAGATGTCGTTTTGGTCGACCGTTTGATCGGGCGATGAGCGTTTCTGACGAGTACACTCTGCGCTTCCTGGGTGCCATATAAAATGGGCAGCCCGGGCAAATGCAGCAAATAATAAGCGCCGCGATTGCCAGCAGCATCAGTAGACCCAGAATAATTAATAGCCAGAAGAGCAGTTTATTCTCCGCTTTGTACACAGTCTGAAAAGGAATCCTGACTTCTCATTTCTCTAAAATAGGAAATTGTCGACCGAAGCAAGGAAAAAATGTGACTTGTAATAACATTATTTAACGAAACTTTTTTTTAACGATAAATGCTATATCGTCCATCCTGCCCGCTCTATCACGACAAAGTCAACAAAGTAATGCGAACAATTAACGTTTACTCACTACTTCCTCATGAACGTTGCTGATTGTTTTATTTACGTAGGTGCCCGTATTGTCTCCCCCAACGTGAATTATTCCATCGATCGGGAGTTTCGTAGTAGTTTCATAGCCGTACGTCATCGAGACGTTAGCGGTGCCTGCTTCGCCGATGATGCCAAACCCATTCGCAGCTAATGTATTGCGAATTTTTTCTACGTCGACCAACGATGTACCGGGTTCGGTCTGTTCGACGCGGGCCACCACGATTGTTCTGTATTACGAAGTGAAAATGTTGGAGATATAATGTGTGGTCAACACGATATACTCTTTCATTTTTAACGAATTTGTTAAGATATGAATTTGTTAAGATATGAATTTGGGTGTGACTAATTTCAGAAATTTTAAGGTTCTCGCCTCAATATATACTCTTTTCCTCGTAAGTAAAACATGCAATATACTGAAAACATCGATAAGTCGCGCTTAACCTTTTCCCTTCCGCTGGTACGCTACTGCCGTTGACGCCGGGTCGATTGTCCGGCACGTAAGGACGTGTATCCAATACGCTCACTCGTCCACCTGTGATGGCTGCTAATGTCTCGGCGGTTCTCGTTAGATTTGGGTGTTCTCCTGGTACCACGAACATCATTATACGAGCCTCCATAGCACTTCCTCGAATAATTGAGATCCGTGTCTCGCTCGCGAGATGTGGCACACCTGGAACAGCAGGTCAATAAAGAAGAGAGACTTGACATTTCCCCTTCACAATTCGACCGCACATAGGACCTTCAATTATTAATTCTTAAACAAATTTTCGATTCAAACGGAAGAGTAAGTTTTTAATTCAATTTTTTGATCTTCTGATGAAAATAATTTCAAGTCAAATTCCAACTCTTCTAAGTACGTTTATAAATATTAAATATTTACCAAGATCATACGCCCTGGCAGTTAGAGTGTACAAAATATCGCTTTCCCGTTTTCTCCGATGCTTTTTTATCTCGCCAAATTGGTGTTTTAATTCGATTGCGTCTGAAATATTGTGGCCTGTGGCGTTTATCGTGCTCGGGGACGTCGTCGTTCTCGTTACGATCTCCCGTATCGTCTGTTCTGGTTGAAAGAGTCCTTTGTGCGGTTTCCTTAAAAGATTGCTGTAGAGGCTTTGCTTCTTCCGCCTGAATTTTGTGATGGGCGAACGTAACATCAACTCTCCAGTGATCTCATTCAGGTAAAACTTATTCTCATAATTTCCGTGAATTAATTCATAACGAATCTCGTTGTTTGGTGGCTCGGCATCGACGTCCGTTGCCTGCACACATCAACACATAAAGTCATTTGGAACAAGTTTTTGCACGTGTACCATTTGACTGTAGTACGGATTTAATACTGACAAGCGTACCTTTATGAATGCTGGCGTCGTGAAGTTCGTCAGATCAGAATTTAGCATGAATTCGTAGACGTCCTTCGCGAAAACCGGCGCGTTGTCATTCACGTCGAGCAAGTTCACTATCAAAGGTACCGTGCCTGTGTTACCTATGCCGTTCTCATCGCGCGCATTTACGGTCAGTTGGAGTTGCGCTGCCATTTCACGGTCCAAAGATGACCCCATCGCGACTGTGATTAAACCAGTATCAGGATCCATCGCGAAAGCGTCGCTGCCCCGTCCCGTGATACCCGTATACTTAATATTGCCAAAGAGTCCGGTATCTTTATCGGTCGCATGCACCTGTCGACAAAATCGTAAAACTCGAAAGAATATTTTTTCAGGCGAAACTATATGCATCGCTTGAATAAATTCATTACTGGAATAAATTCATTACAAAATATCATAAAATTGATTAATTTTAGAAAGCAATTCATTCTAAATTTATGTTTATGAAAACGCAATAAAATTAAGATGTGTAATTTGTCTATTTAATTATTTCATAATCACATGTTAAAAATTACTTGAATAACTCGAGTTCCAGCGGTGACATTCTCGGACAGTGTGACTTCGTAAGATTCCTCGTCGAACACTGGCGAATTATCGTTCAGATCTTGTATAAATATCACCACTGCCGCTGATGCCGATAAATTTGTCGCCGGACCGACTTCTTGAGCAATAATCTATACCATGTATTAACAAACAGGAGATGTATATTAACGTATGCAAATACGTATAATAAAAACGCAAGCAGCTTATGGTAGTAACGATATGATTGAGCGATTTCGTTCAACAATCTTACATTAGAGCTGCGTACCTCAAAAGATAAACTTTTATACATCTCGTAATCGATGAATGTGTTGTCTCGCACCGTAATGATGAAATCTGCCGTTCTTTCAGCGACAGTTGGACTTATTTCGAAAGTACCATTATTATTTTGCAACTTTAATGCGAACACGCCAGCCTTTCCGATATCTTCGTCGCGGACTCTGCTCGAGTACTGCTCGGGAAATATTATCACAGAACCTGGCTCCAAATTCTCTGGTATTGATGTAATGTATCTATATAATATATAGCAAGTAAATATCATATAAGTTTATATATATATATATATATATATATATATATATAATTGTACTGTGAATAATATAAGTAACGTGATTTTTTGAGCGTGGATTTTGATTTAAATTCGTGACGATTAACCCCAAAACTTTAAGCATAAAAATGTTACGTAAACCTTAGATACAAATTAATTTTATCTAATGCACTTTCATTTACTTATAATTTCCGAAAAACTAATCAAAGTTCAACCTTTTTTTGAGTCTAATAATGTTTTTGTGATTTAATAAAACTGAAAAAGTTATAGTGAAAAAACGAAACACATATTTTCAAAAATGGTAACATTAAGAAAGTTGGTATGAGTAAATTTTATCTATGTTCTAAAATAAAAAAAAACGTAAGGACAAAAGGCTCGGAAAGATGTAAAAATGCTGAAGAGAAAGGTACTGTAAGTCGTGTTGCTAATTGACAAAAATGAGGTCAAGTCTCCACATCAGGACGTTGCCCTGCAATCCTTACGTGCTCGTTATATTAAAATTATTAGGTACCAACTTATCGTTCTCAAAATACGGCGGGCTGTTGCCTGGCTCGCCGAGAAGAAAACCGACTTCGACGACCGTCGCCTGAGCTGGCGGCTCGTCTCTGGATCTTCGTATTTCTTCAGCAACTACGCTGAGCACGACAGGCGCACCGACGTGAGTGATTTGCGTGAGTTCCTCCAAAGGTCTGGCGAGAGCGATCTCACCTGAACATCGCAAGCAATTTGTATAACGTTTACGTTAACGAGCAGCTGAATTTTTCTCACTCGACTAATCACTGTTCGTGCGCCAAGTATAGTAAGCAAATACATAAATCATTTCAGGATGCGCTCGTCGAGAAAATACCTGCTATTATGATTCATTGGGAATCGTGCCGTCGAAATTATCATGAGCGTCGAGTGTGCATTTTTTCCCTAAAGTCGATATTTTCAGAAGCGTTAATTGGTCACGCTTGCACGCCGATACACGTAGGCACACAATCCGCGGATGCTCTTCATTTCCCGACGCGCAAAATCTCGCGTGTGGGACGATTCATTATTTCGCGAGGAGAACGACTCTGTGTAGCAATGTTATACGAACTATTTTTTCCTTGAATAAAACATCGCGGGTAATGGGCGAATTCTTGTTACCTCTGCCGACCGCGCCGCATGTACACGCACGCTGGCCGGCAATAATTTTACATAATATACCGGCAGAATCGACGCAAGAAATCGTTCGTGGCGTACGTCTACGTACACGCCGCTGGATAGATGTAAGTGAAACCAGCACACGCAAGGACCCTGTACATATCGCATGCTCCTTGCCACGAAATGATAAGCATCGCAGGTTGAAAAGCAGAGACTGACCCCTGAGAACGATCGATACCTGGCCGTAGTAGACTGTCCAGACTTATTCCGACCACCTCTAGCTTCTTCTGTTTACCTCTCGTCGTCTTACTTGGCTCGCGTTTGGCGCGACTGTCGCGAAAAATCCAATATTCCGAATACGATAAGCATTTCGGCCGACGTTATTCCGGGCGTAATTCTCCAATCTGCTCGAACGTGCGTGCGTGCGTGCGTGCGTGCGAACGCGTTATTTACTCGGCAAAGGGCTTAACAAAATCTGTTTCGTGGATCAAATTTCATTTGTCCGACTAAGATATCTCGTTTAATACGAGCTCTTCTATTTGCTGGTAAAAACAATTTCTGTCGCTTGCGTTTTCTCACATTGTGTCACGCGTGTCAGTTTAGGATACCTTTTCATTTACTTTATTATCGTGGTTTACAGTTCTAATTTCTGTGGCTTCTATTGTTTTTTATGGCTCTCGAGATGCGCCACTCTCGAAAAAGATGAAATTGGAAAGAAGAAAGTGAAGAAAAACACGTAAGAATTATTGGACGCAATCACACACGCTATTTTCTTTTGCGGATTCTACGCGCGGGTAGTACAAATCAGCCCAGTTATCAAGAAATGAAAGATCGAAATCGTCGGGACAGCAAGTAACAAATTTCCTCGCTTAATCATTGTCCGAAGCTTTCCGCAGAATGAGGTCAGGTTGTTGTACCAGAGGGGTGTATGACTCAACGTCATTGCTACTTTTTCCCGTGCGTCGAAGCCGTCAGGTGGAAAACGGGGCGTGACATGAGATAGATTAGAGAATTACCGATGACTCAACTGATCGAGTAAATTAATTACACCGTACACGAGGGCTCGCAGTTCTGCACCTATGGGATAAGACGAATCCTTTCATCGTTACCTGACCGCGTTAAACATGTATAGTCACCGCGCGACCAATTAAGGACAAGCGAAATACACGTGGGTCGATAACGAAATTACACTTTACATCCTTCCAATCTTCGTGATTTTCAGCGAAACGACGCTTGCGAAGTGACGTCGATCGAACATGTTCCCTTACCGGTTGTTTCTGAGATGTTAAAGAATGGCACAAAGGGGTTGCCCTCGGACACCAGGCCGTACGTGATTTCACGCGGCACTCCCTTATCTCCATCTTCCGCGTGGACTCGTAATATTATGTCGCCCTGAAAATGGCACGAACGCCATGGACAAAATTCGTAAGCCAGTTAAATAACTCGTGACGAGAATTATAGAAAGAGTTCCTTTATCTTAAGTCGATACTTGAAGTCTCGAGTTATTTGCAATCTTTGATTGACCTTGAAATCCTAAACATCCAAAAGTTACGTAAACTTTAAACATGAGCGAATTTTATTCAGCGTATTTTCATTTGCTCATAATTTCCGGAAAAATGATTGAAAATTTCAATTTTTTTATCAATGTAGAAAACATCTAGGAATATGAATAAATTGATACTTATGCGATTTAATGAAAAAGTTATGATGAGAAAACACATTTTTAAGAACGGTAACGTTTGAAAAGTTGGTCGTGCTAAATTTTATCCATGTATGTTTAGGATTCTAGGGTTAAGAATATAACAAATTACAAGTATATTCAACTTACAGTTTGCACAGAATTGTTAAGTCTGGTTAGAGGAGGTGCTAAGGTAAAAATTGGCGGCACATCCTGTACATCTTGAACCACCACGACGATATTCAATCCTGCGATATTCCTGGTGTCCTTCCCGGGTTCCGTGTATGGATCCTGTCATTTGGAAATATTCTTATCGAAGATATGTGTACACTCGCCTCAAAAAAATTGCCAGACTTTTACTTGTAAAGTTTAAATACATATCCATACTAATAGGAGAATTCTCTCAATGGAGAAGACGGATATGTTTCTGAATTCACAAATAAAGGCTTGACAATTTTTCTGAGGGCGAGTGTACATTCTCTTTCTCTTTCTCGTACTTATCGCTAAAGGAACGATGCGCACCGTTGCGTAAATTGTGAGAGTGTACATCGATTGCGTCTCGAAATCTAATTCGCCGATCAACGTAATCACACCGCGCGTTTGCGTCTGCGTTTGTCGTTGGCGGATGGTGAACAGGTCCTTGGGTTGCTGAAACGAGATTCTTACGCTACATACGTCGCATTAATTACGCTCGTAGGAGAGTCACGACCGTCGAACGTACCCACAATTCGATGTAAACTGGCTTGCCGCTCCAGGAATTGGCTCGCACGAGAAGATAATCCAGTTCCTTGCCCGGCTTAGTGTCCTTTCAAGGCGTTTTATTTTACTTTTGATACACTGCACGATAATGCAATAACGTATTCTCTAACTTATGTTAATGCTGCTAATTGGCAATAATTAGGGATCACGAAGTGAACGCGGTTTGCACTGCGTTACACTTTACGCCGTAGCAATTACGGCGTGCGCTAATTAACGTCATTAGTGGTACCATCAATTATTACCTCGGGCACCATTATCAGCGAGGGTATGTGCGGGAATATTTTATCACGCGAGGTCGTCGCGTTCGTGGCGGAAATGGTGGCCTGCATCGAATTCGAATCTCCTTTGGTGTCCCGAACTCTGACAGCGAAATCGTGGAGGCGCCCGGGCATAAGGCGCTTCGTTAAAATTACATTGGCCTGGCAGACCTTGTTGAACAGCGTGCACGGCAGATTGTCGATCCTCACCACTGGTGTAATTGTTGCTGAACGTAACACAGAAATCGCTCTTTAAGTCCGGCATATCTGTCCCGCAACTTTCTAACGATAGCGGCGTTTTCGTTACGTGTCGACGCGGGCGAAAAATGCGCTATATCGTGTAGTAATTACGCAATGATACGTGACGATAGCAACATTGCCGTTAAAAGTAACAGAACAGAGATTCTAGCTCACAAATATCTTGTTTGATATTATTAGACTATACTTACTTTTTTTTATTTAATTTTTCATTTGTGATATTTAATCCAAAATTTAACAATTTATATTTCAATTAATCAAATATACTGATATTTATATCTTCTTTCTTTCTTATTACCAGTCACTTCGAAAACAAGAGGATAATCCGCATCCTGATCGGTGGCGCGCAACCGAAAGATCACGGAATCGACCTCGGCGTCCGCTGGAATCAACACCAATCCCATATCCGTGGACGTGTCGAAGCGTGGTCGAGCACCTTCGACCCAACCGCAAACGAGTCCCCAGTAAATCCAAGCTTTAAGCCATACTTTTGCGAGGGGCATTCTGAAAAAAGTTAAACGCGACTTTCCTATATCTCTGTGACTTCCGAAGACGAGGTACAAGATGTTTGAGATTGTGGGGAGCGTCAAACGCATTATTCGTAAGGGCCAGTTAAACGTGAAACAAGTAACGGCGAATTGATAATACCATATCACTATGATCCACACGTAATCGACGTTAACGGCGAAAAGATGGTGAGTTTAGATACGATTGTACGTATCGACTTTATGATCACGAAACTGGGTCGTGGACATTCGTTGTGCGCAACGTTTACAGTATCTCAAGTATAGTATCTTAAAGCGTATATCAAATGATCTCTCGATATGCGTTATAAAATGCAAAAATGTGGAAACGATCTTAATGACATATTACGCGCGATCTGCTACGGAACCTCGCAAGTATTTTAGTAAAAAAATAAAGAAGACAGAACGATAGATTAAAATGAAATTAAATAATGTAAGATAATGGCTTTAAGTAGATTATCGCGAAACGAAAAATTTCGTAGGTTCTGTGATGTTGCACAACGTATTGTTATTTATGTTCTGCAACGTTACGTGCTCGTTTTCCGTCAATACTGCTACCCTGCATGACGCGCCTCGTATTATCACATTCATGTGGATGAAATCATTCACGGAGACATACATACATACATACACACACACGCACATACGTTTCGTTACGACTGCCAATATAGCACGCACGTGATTGTTAAAGGATTGTGAAAATGTGGGTCATCGACCACATCTGTACAACGAGACTAATATATTATGCTCGGCACATTCGTTTCGCCAGACAGAGAAGTGTTTATGGCGGTATATTTTACAGTCCTATCTTCAATGTGTGATCACTTCTAGAACTTTAAGCGAGGAAATGATGTTCCGTAAGAACGCTCCAGAACATTGTAGATATTAAACGTTACATAAAAGTTGATAGAGAAGAGTCGCCGAAATTGTGCCGGTCTCCCAAATTGTACTTCAATTTTTTTATTATTATTAAATGTATTGTGAATATAACCTAATGGTAAAAACGAAAAGTAAATAAACAATGAGAAATATAAATCCAAAATTTCAGATTATATCTTATTTTGTACGTATTACAAAATCATATTAAAAAAAATCAAATCGTGTCTCATTAATGATATTTGATTTTTTAAATTTTTGTTTTAAGCACGCACAAAATAAGATAAAATCTGAAATTTTAGGTTTATATTTCTCATTGCTTATTTCTTTTTTATTTTTGCCTGTTATTATTCATATTCAATAATAATAAAGAAATTGATGGGACACAATTTAGGACACTATTGCGTGATTTCAGCAATTTTTCCTCTGTATCATTTTTGCATCAAGTTTGAAAAGTTTGAAATGATACGTGCGTATTTTTTGAGCAACTCGTTGAAGATTTGTGGAAATTCTCTTAACTTCTCATATGTTCCGTTTTCTAAATGTGTTTAAAGTACTGATCACATCGTTACTTAACAATTGGAGAAAAACGAAATTGGATGTAATTTTGCAAAGATTTCAGACATCAATAACGTGTTTGGACATCGCTGGTGCGTGACTGCTGGACGAGTACTCGCCGTACGAATAAGCAGGTCAAATTTTTCGATCGTGGCCGATCGATCACTGCCCACTTCTCTTCGTTTCTGGTTTTTTCCACTTCACACTTTTGATTACGCAAGAGTCCTCACGTCGGGAAGAAAAAGTCCCTTGTTTTTCTAGGAAACATTTCAAGCTTATTTTATTCCATATTGTTGCATTCCTGTACTGTGCACGATGGACACTTTCTGTCTGGTGCCTTGACATTGCATAAATATTCCACCGTGTAGCTGAAGTAACATGTTCAATGAAATATTTAGTATCAACTTCTCGTACGTAGATCCGACAACAGGGGTCCTGTTTGTCTAACGATGAAATGAGCTTCGGCTCGTCTCCACGCGCTATAAGTTTTTACCGGTCAGTGTCCACGCGGGTGAGTGAACGATCGATAGGCTTTTCCTTTTTCCTCCGCATTCCCGCGGCTCGCGTCGCGAGATCGATATTCGCACGTGGGTGCGATTGAAAATCCACGTGAATTTTCGCGGAACGGCTTTGTAAATATATAATTAATAAATGCATGCCAGACGTGTGTCCGTTGCGGTGGCGGCGGAGTTTCGGTACACGTGAAGAACGTCGATATGTCTTCTCGATTGCATCGACATTTCGTCATGAATGTGCAATGCCGATATCTCATTGCGCATGAATGGAGGAGTCATCAACCCTCCCAATTGATCATTTTCTCTACGAAATTGCCTCATAGAGAAAATTACTCTTGGTTTTTTTAATTTTTTTAATGATCATCACGCCAAACATTAAATGTCAAAATCCAATTAAAAGAAACGTTGTTGATGTGAAATATCTGATGCTATGTTGCGAATATTATGACACGCTTAAAAATACCTTTGTCAACGACAAATGTTGCATCCTTTTGTTATATCATTGTAAAAATAGAAAAATACCAAACGTAAAGATGAAATCAGTTTGTTCATCTCGTGATAAAAAGGAAGCAGTATTCGAAATGATTTAATGTTTTTCTGCGAAAATAAAAATTATGTTTTATTTTGTGTAATGATTATATTTGTGCTTTGAAAATATTTCTTTGTAATTCGTGACGCTCTCTGATAATGTTTCAGCACAATACCGTAAAAAAATATAAGAACAGGAAAAGCGCTTACCTGAAACGCGGAGAATCACGAGTTCGCGAAACAGTTCATATTTATACGAATATCCATCGATCGCACATCGAGCGTGTGTGAATCTTCCGGTAATGCGGTAATCGCGCACACATTCCCGAAATAAATTCGCGTTTCTCCCTTCTTCCCGAGACAATTCTTTAACGCGTTAATTCTCGCGTCGATGTTTCTAACACATTACGCCTTTCCTTCGCTCTTCTCCTTTAGATGTTCATTTTCGCGAGCGCGCGAAGATCTCGATTGCGCGTAACCACGCGTTTATCTCCCTTCGAGAATCGCACCGGAGGGAAATCACTGAGACGCTCGGCGGGTACGATCAACCGTGATCCAGAGACAACATTCTCGAGAATCGTCTGGCAACATACTTCACGCGGCCGCGTATGCCGCGCGTGTGAAAGGGGTTGTACTGTTCAACCCCAACGTCGACGCGGTTCTACGAGTCACGTGTACGTCACGAACAGCGACCATCCCCTCCATAGGTGCATCTAGCTATGTGCGATAGCCCTCGAATTAATATCATTTCCAAGTGGAACGAGTGAGGTGGAAATCTCGCGATTAGTCACTCACCGATGAGTGATCATTGCACTTTTTTTCGTTCTATTAACTTCAAGTAAAATCATGCAACTTCTAAAGCGGAAGAATATTAAAATGACGCATTCAGTACATTCAGCAAGTATATTCAGAGATGCGAAAAGAAATCATCGTACAAAGTAATGCGACTTCTAGAGGCTATACACGGAAAAAATTTTCGGTTTGAATAACTGAATGGGGACTAAACGGAAAACTCACTGACGAGAAATAATATCTCTGTTACAGTGATCGAAAACATTCGTCTGAATATTTAGCTGTATTAAAATTCAATTGAGATAACTGAGAGCAATTGGCTGAGTAGAAACCTCTTATAAGAATTTTTTTGTTTCTACAATCGAGTTTTGCATTTGGTTCCTAAGTAACAGAAAATTTATCAACGGAGTTGTATCAACGGAGTTGTTTTATCCGTATATCATTAAATATAAGTAGAATAATGCAATTGTTTTGTAAAAGTCTGAGATTTGTCTTCAGATATACTACATCAAAACAGTGCTTTCCGATGACTCAGTGTCTCGATAAGTCGGATAATAACAACCGCAACTTCTTGATACAAGAGGGGTTTCTTAACGCGGGTTCGCGTGTTTATTGTTCAAGGAATAGCGATAAACATCAGCAACCTAATTTCTGAGAGCCATTTATCGCGATCTTTAGTACGTATCTTTTAAGCTAACTATCTTTAAGTTAATTAATAGTAAAATGTTAAAGCAGCGTATTTTCCGTTGTAAAATAATAATTTGACTCTCGCTTAATCCACAATTTCTAATTTTATTATTATTATTATTGCCTCTGAGGGCAATAATAGTAGTGGCACTGAAATGTTTGAAAATCGGAAAAATGTGAATCGGGGGCGATAGGTCCTCACACGCACTGCACTCACGGAACATTTTTGTACATGAAGATTACATGCTCAAGAAACGATAGCTATCGTTAACTAGGCGTTACATCGCCGTAATGACGAATTCATACTGTAAAAAGCGAGATACGCCATAACGTCGAGAGAGCCCTCGAGAGTTTAAAGACGCCTATACGCCAGTGAGGTCAACCGCTGACCGGTGGCTTATATAGCCGACTTGAATTAGCATGAGGTTGCACGCGAACTTGACGTTCAGGAAGACGATAAGAGAATAGGTAACCGTCTCCTCGACTACCTGGCTTTTCAACCCGTGACCCGCTGTACTGTGCGTACAACACGAGCTCGATCGTTTTCGGTCATTTTCCGTTTCGCGTACGTGTGTCATTGCGATACGCGTCGCACAAATATTGATCCATAAGTGCAGGTTTTTCAACAAAATTGAAGTGCACTTTATTCTTGTTAGAAACAATTTTAATCAATAGTATACGCGCCATTCTGTTCGACAATTTTTTGCTATTTTTGTAATTTCATAATTCCTCTTTCATAGAACTCTTATGCTTTTCCGGCGTAAAAACGTTCCAAGCAATTTTTCGAAAGAATCTTTTAAAGAAGCGAAGTTTATTCCGTCAAGGCAGTTCTGTAATGAGTGAAATGGATAACAGTCAGAGGGGAAATGGTCGAGTGAATATGGTGGGTAAGGTAAAACACCCCAAGTATATAATTATTTTTATAGAAGTAAAAAGAGATAATGCACCGGAAAAACTCATTATTGTCTTCCATTTTTAAGCTACAACAATTGTACTTCTTTAAACACTAATTACTAACATCAAAAAATATCAATTATCAAAGCATATATATATAGATGGTCAACTGTATGGAACTATCCTTTTAATACCAATATACGACTGCCAACTTGACAAATCCGCGCACGAAATTGTGGATCAATCCAATACAATGCGAACTGTAGAACACTATTACTGCGTGCGTGAACAACATCGTGCCACCGTAATGCCTCGTTATTACGCTTTAATATAAATTTTTTCTCTCTTTTTTCTCTCTTATCGCGCGTATTTAACTGCGCGAAGTCTGGTAATAGTACATTGATCCCTGAGAAACGACGAAAATTTCGTACTTACCTACCTAGGCGTGACTTCACGTCGTTTCTCCCGTAAGCGTAAGAGGTTGCGTTACAAAGACACGGTTTATTGAAAAAAATTATTTACTTATCTATAAAAATTACAAAGGAGTGTGTTGTAATAAACTGTTGTACAAAAATTGGTTGTACGACGAGTCGTTGTGCAGATACTTAGTCGACGCTAATTCATGTTAACGTATAAATAAAGTCGTTGGTGTAAAACTTCGGCACTCGTTATGATAATTAAATATATCTCTCACATATATATTGTACAATATAAATTAAATATACACTGATTCTCACGTATCAACTTCGCGCGCACAATAATAAATACTTCGCGGGAATGCTTTGTGTGATAGCCCGTAAAAATGTATCCGTTTTAATCAATCATGCAACAACATAATTATTTACAACGTATATTCCGCACTGCATTCTGCATATCTAAACGATTCACTAGTGTAATTGGTTTGACCGTTTGCGATTTCCAGAGATATCCAATGATTCGCTATAATTCCGTTGTTTCGACCTTTTTCCCCAGAGGATTGACGATTGCGCTGTGTCCCGCGTAAATCGGTGAGTCTCTGCTGTAATCGTTTTGAATGTCTATACTCTCGACGCTACAACAATACAAAATACAATGCAAGTTACGCATACTGCCACATATCACGACACATATTGAACATAATGATACGGTATTGCGTGTCGTTACAACAAACGTCGAATTGAAGTTGAAATATAATCGAAACTTGCGTAGCTCTGACGAATTTTATTTGCCGTATTGCAAATATGGAGATATATATCTCACGTTAATTAATTAAACACACGACAGTTAAACCGTTATACATGGTGATCGTGCTTTCGTATTATCGAAGTTACTTAGATTTCAATCGGCGAATTTGCGAATAAGCGACAGTAAAGTCGGAAAAGTAGCTCTGGTACCTGGAAATAGTCGAAACTCTCGGCTCTATGTAATATGGTTTATCGTTGGCTCTTTGGTTTGTATTGGCTTCGTTCATCATTTCCTCGTTATTGAGCGCGTTCTCATCGAGGGAATCCCTCTCGGACGTATGGCTGAACGACTCGTCGCTCTTGAACCACTCGTTCTCGTAAGCGTGCATCCATATGGGATTCGAGCCTTCCATGCTGTGTTTATTCGTGTTCGGAACACGGCCAGGACTTCGGATAAATTCCGAATCCGACGCACCTTTAAGAATATCGTGACATTGAGAATTTTAAACCTCGATATTATAATATCGCATGAGGGAAATCTTCTACGGAACGAAGGATTTCCTAAGAGTGTACTTTACTAAATTAACTTCGTATCTCGCTGGTCATCAAAGGCAGCGCGAGTCAAGTGACGGACACTAGCAATTGCCGAAGGAGAATGCGAAGCATTGAGAAGCTTTCTACGATAAACTGTCAATGTTGTTTGCATTACCGAACGGAGACGCGTTCGCCGCTTTTAGTTGCCTTCGGAAGGACGCCCTTTGAGATAAACACAGGGTGACACACAGTATCAATAGTGCTCCCAGAAACAGAGTCACCGTGAGGAGCCAGAAAGTGGTTCCAGCTTGTTCGTACTGCACGATCGGTTGAGGCTTTGCCGGCTGCGTATCGAGGACGTTGAACTCCTTGAATAGATTGTCGAGCTTCTCGATGTTACGGTCGACCAACTCGAGGACCTCGGGCACTTCCAGAATCGAATTGTCCCGACGATTCACGAGGTGCAAATATAAATCTGTCTTCGTTCGATCCACGGAACCGTCTTGATTCTCGTGCACTTTGTACTCATCGACATTAATGATAGCGCTGGTGACGTTACCCAGAATTCTGTGTGTGCATATGTATAACACAAATTTAGACTTCCTTTTGATATTAATTATTATTAGGATATTTTATATGGGCAATATATTTGGATATTTTTTTTTATCTATTGCTCATAACTCACTTTACAGTGTGGTCGTCGATAATATAGAATGCAGTAGATATTTTACTTACTCTCGGAATGTTTCGATTCGACTTCTGACTTCTGGTGGATGTTGACGAAGAACAAAACGAACTCGTTGATCCTCTCGCAATAAATAAATGAAAACTCTTGCAGTATCTTGCAAACTGTACGTGTCATTAACGAGCACCTATATATTTGTACATATTACTCCTTGAATATATATATGTTCGTATATAAATGATAAATCATAATACATTATATGTTTGTTATATAGAAACCGTTAATTATAAATAATAAGTAGCGTTAACAAAAAAAATACTGACGCTTTGTATAACGAAAAATAAAAAATGTAAAATACTAAGTATCGATTCCGGTAGAATCGATTTTGAAAGTTTCATTCGAATTTGAAAAGAAATACTGATAAAATTGTACCATGAAATCGAAGTAACCCTTCATCCCTCGTTGCGGATCGAAATTCAGACTCACTGCTCCCGTATCCGGATTTACGAGAAAAGGCTGCAATTGCATATTTTCGAAGCCCTCAGTTAACGTCATGTGGATTTTACCTACTTGATAATAACTGATCACTGCGTTATCGCCGGCGTCTAAATCAATAGCCTGTAATACGAATTCGCACGTAGAATGTGTGTACATAAAAAAGCGTTCTGAGATTAAATATTAATTGCTACTATAAGCAGTGACAAATTTCTACGATAAAGAAATCAATGAAAATCTATAATTTCGTGTAACGGCACTAGCAATATAAGATTACCTTAATGTGCATAAATTGCGTGCCAAAGTCGGCCTCGGTAGTAACACCACCCGTAAAAATTTTGTTAACAAATCGCGGTGCATTGTCGTTGATGTCGTTAACTTTCACGACAACTTGCAACAAAGTGTCGTCAGCCTCGTTGAATGTCGTTTCGTTAACTGGCACAGTCTCGCAGTCTTCCGTTGCTTTAACGAGCAAGATATGTTCTTCTCGCTGCTCTCTATCCAGTGTTTTAGCCGTCTGAATAACGAACAGTATCGAAATTGTTTTCAGATCGCCAAAAAAATAAAAAAATTGAGGGTTAATTTATCACTTTCCGCGATTACACACAGACGTATCTTCATTTTTTGTGTGTGTATTCATTTGCAATATTCAAAGAACCAATTTTAATTCTAGGTACTTACGCTAAGCTCGTGTTTGTAGATATCTAAAACGAACAATCCACCGTCGTTTCCACCAACTATGAAGTAACAAACTTGCGTAGGTGGATCATCCAGGTCATCTACTTCGTCTCTGTCGACTGTTTCCGGAAGTAACGCCATCTCTGATCCAGGAAGCTGTTCCTCAGTGAAATTGATATTAAAAATATTCAGCAAAAATTGAGGCTCGAAATCGTTAATGTTCCGAACATAGATAATTAGATCAAGGTCGGAACTTAATGACGTCGGAGTACCTAAATCGTACGCTTCCACTCGAATCTACACGAGAAAAATACGAGTTTTATTAACTTCATCTGTCATTCCTTCGCGAACAAAAGTCAATTAAAACGCGAAAACGGAACCAGCCGAATTAAATATAATTAACGAAAGAAATCCCTTTGTTTCCACATACCTCGTATAATTTCTGAGTCTCTCTATCGAGTGGCGATTTTAAAGATATCACGCCAGTTTTATCGTCGATGCGAAAAGTTCTCCAATGACCTGCCAAATCCTGCTTCAAACGGTAGTGCACATCGCCATTTAATCCCGTATCAGCATCTTTCGCCTCAATTTGGATAATCGGGCTTCCCACTGTTATGTTCTGAAATCACGTTGTTGCATATTTCATTAGAGCCATTTCATGAGAATAAAGAGCATAGTGTCACGCAAAGTAATTCAAGATAAACGAACCTCTGGAACTCGAATGGTGGTGTTGTGCTGAGGACTAATGAACAATGGTGGATTATCGTTGTAATCCGTGACACAAATTTCCAAAATTCCACTATCTTTGTTGGTCGGTGTTCCTAAATCACGCGCTTCCATGTGTAGCGTATAATTACCGAATTTTCCCCTCAACGGTCGCGCAGCTTTGATCTTCGCCGTCCAATAATCAGTTTGCTCCAATATGAACAAACCTGCTCTGACCAATATTTCATCAATGTCATTTCGCAAGCAATATCCAATTAAAAAATATACAAATTGTTTCCAGAAGTATATAAATTTCGCGGGATGTAGTACACATTTACTTAAATACTGCACGCCATTAATATTGATAAATTGTTGAATCGGCTGATGTATAAATGGAAATTAAGCACGTACCTAGTTCATTGCCAGAAACGATTCTAATCATGACACGGCCGTTTGGTGTGGTCGGATCGTCCGCGTCCTTCGCTTTGACGACGAAAATCAGGTCACGTATGTCGTGAAACTCCGATATGGAGACGCAACCTCGTGGTATATCCATTTTTGGAACATTGTCGTTCACATCAACGACGGTTACTCTAAAATAGTATGTTAATTTCGTAATATCGCGCGTGGATGTTACATTTAATTGTTATATTTAATTCAGTCGGGAAAATTGGATCATCAGATTATCTCACGAACATACTGGATCTGTTTAAACGCATTTCGTGACTCCCCCGCTGTATAACCAAACTGATAATTGTCCCAAGCTTCTATAACTAAAACATAGCTATGTTTCGTCTCCCAGTCTAGAACGTCGGCCACGGTCAAGGATCCGGTTTCTGGATGGATAGCGAAAGTCCCCTACTCGAAATAACATTTGACATAAAATTTGATATAACATTCGAAATAATATTACAATAATAATGGTGTCTATTTTAAATAGAATAGAATATAATCATCTATTGCAAAATACAGTACTGTCGGAAAGAAAACGTTTGTACAAGATAAAGAAACAAGATTTATTGCGACAAAACCGAAACTATTTTTTTTTTTTAGATATACAGAGTGTCCCGCATAAGATGTACCAAAAGAAGAATATAAGTAGAACAGATAAAAGTGAAACATATGGTCGAAGTCATTTCTCGAACAACCACGTAAAATTTCGAGTTATTAAATAAAATAGATGAGCCAATCAGAGCGCGCGACGCGGCCGGCGAAGAAATGGCCGATTGCTCACGCGTCTATCTCATAGGCCCAGAGAGGGGGGGAGACTACGTCTTAGATCTGCGTGATAGGCCCGTGAACAATCGGCCATTTCTTCGCCGGCCGCGTCGCGCGCTCTGATTGGCTTATTTATTTTATTTAATAACTCGAAATTTTACGTAGTTGTTCGAGAAATAATTTCGACCATGTTTCATTTTTATTTGTTCTACTTATATATTTTTTTGGTACGTCTTATGCGGGACACCCTGTATAAGTACACATATACATTCTGCAACTTCTCCGAAGTAAACGGAGTAAACTTTTAATATCTGGAATATTATGCACTAACACGTTTTGGGATGGTGCCAAAAACTTTCCGACTTTTCGTATTGTATGCATGTATAGTAAGTTTCTTTTGAATATTAAGTAACGATCACAGTATTATGTTAAAAATATAAGTGAGAATTTTTTGTCTGTTATTAATGTGTAAGTTTCAGTGTTCACACTTCTTACCTGTGATGACATTCTGTCTAAGAGATAAGTAATTTTGCCGTAATCCCCGCTATCGGGATCTCGCGCCTGTATAACTGTGATTTCCGTGCCGATTTTGGAGTTTTCCATGACAGACACGTTACTGATGTTCGAAATAAAATACGGATTGTTGTCATTTTCGTCTAACACTTGAACATACACTTCCGCCAAACTCGACCTACAACACATTTCACCAGATCAAAGTAGTACACTAGCAAAAATGTATTCCTGGAATATTATTAATTAGTTAGCCACCGCGCTCACATATACATAAATTATATATTACAAAATAAATGAAATATTTATAAAATCAATACTATTAAATTATATTGTTAACATGTACATTGTGTTGTTAATTATTATATCATTAACATGATATCTATATCAATGGAAATGTATAAGTTTTTAAAGAACAAATTCATCTAAACTTTATCTATATTATACGACAATTTTTAAATAAATATAATAATCTTGTAATTGCCTTGACTGTTGCATACCGAGGTGGAATTCCGGAGTCTGTAGCTCTGACAGTAAAGTTAAGCCACGAATACATTTCTCTGTCGATTTTACTGGCGACAACCATTTCTCCAGTTTCAGGATCTAAATGCACAAGCTCGGCTATCTCCCTCGGCCCTTGTAAAGAATAAGTGATGCTACGATTTTTGTCAGCGTCGTCGGCAACAATACTCGCGATATTAACACCATTTTTACTATTCTCTGTAACGGAGCGTCTGTAAAAGGGCCTCCGGAATTTTGGATTGTTGTCGTTCTCATCCTCGATAATTATACTCAGCGTGGCTGCAAGCATTTTCATAGCGTTTTCATGTTATTACGCTTTGACATTAAATGTGTGAATTATTTTGAAATAAATACAATTATGTCTAAAATCGCACAGTAGAAAAGCAGTCAAAAGAATTTTACAGGAACCTTTATATGAAAATATTTCAAGAGAAGTATTTTATTTCCTTCCTTAAGCGCGTAAAACCTTCAAAAATCCGCGAAATTATCGCCTTTTTTGTCGTGGATGTACATGAGAGATTTTTGAAAATTATCTTAGATATTTGTCACTATGTGCAGAGAGATACATTTATATATGCGATATCTTCAAGACTAACCGGATGCAGTTTGCAAGCCTCTTACTGCGGCCAAATCCTCAACCACGAGCCCCAATCTAATTGTCTCCACTCTTTCTCTGTCTAACAGTCTTACTATACGTAATAGACCGTCTAATGCGTTTAATTCCAGCGCTGCCAAATAGTCATATTCTTGTATTTTGATTAATGTGCCCTCTTCATTTCGTGCCTCCGACGAGTTGGGATCCACCCGGTAGCGTAGTATCGGAGCCACATCGGGATCCTGAGCCACTACGCGATGAACGTACGCGCCAACCTAATAGTCACGCGTTCATTTATTCATCGATATTTTCCCATATAAGACAAATATTACACGGAAAAAAAAATTTTGCTCTTTTAGCAAAATCATCGTTGCTACTGCATAGTAACATAAAAAAAATTTAGTTGACGTAACTAATTTTACAAATTATTTATTATTAGAGCAGAAGTAGTTTCGTTGCTAGGATAGAAAAAGTTTGTTGAGTGTAGTTGTTCTAAGAATCACATTAATTTGCTATTGATGCAAAATAATGTATTCTTAGTAAATTTATTTGCTATTGGAGCAAAATTGTAACTGCTTATATAAATCCATCATGATTCTTATAGCAAAATAATTTGTAGATTCAGCAAATTATTATATATCCAGCAAATAGTGATTAGTATTCTTAACAAATCTTTTTGCTCATATAATAACGAAAAGATTTTGCTAGAACAGCAGAAAATTTGCTGAGCCAGCAAATTTTTTTTTCCATGTAGATATCGAGTTACAAATAACCTTCACGAATGGCAAATATTCATTTTCTCTCTAAAGACTTACATAGAACAAGTCAATAAAGTGTTTCTTAATCGAAAGCATTATTATTAATAACGACGAATATGTGTTAGATTAGCCTTTGTTGCAAAATATTTTACACTTTCGAGAGTAAAGCCGAAGGGGGAAAAAACGGGAATTTATGACTCAATCTGATACTATCAATCAGCATACCTGAGTGTTCTCTCTGATGGTGACAGTTCCAGGTTCAGTAAAAACAGGCGGTTTATTGTTGACATCGATGATTGTGATGTTCACGAGAACCTCTGCCGTCCGTTGAATCTCCGTACCGCTGTCGATCGCGATAACGTTTAAGTTGTATCTCATTGTTTTTGGCGACGTCAGATCCGGGTCTAAATTCGAGCCGGGAGCTACTCGGATTACGCCCGTTTCGGGACTAATTACAAACTTGTCTCCAGCCCCGCTTTGAATTCGATACACTAATTTGTTGTTTGGCGATGACAGATCTTTGTCCCAAGCTTTCACCTGTGCCATCAATGATTCTTTACTATTGACTCGATCATTCCTAATATGATGAATTTTTATTTCTCTATTTTTTATCTTTCACATGCAGTTTGTAGTGTTCTTACGATTTTATGACGATCTGCATAACATGTCATATTATATTTACAATACCTGCACAACGCTCGTACCGCCCGCCAAATCCTCGGGGATGCTCCTCTTGTACAACGTTCTTTCGAAGGCGGGCGGATTGTCGTTGATATCCTTCAAATAAATAATCAGAGGAACGTCGGAGCTCATACTCGGCGTGCCCATATCTCTAGCTCGCACTGTCAATCTCAATGGACGTATAGCCGTTTCTTTGTGTCCCTGTTTGATGGGCAAAGCCTCATAATCCAGGGGATGCGCTGGCGTTATAACGCCGCGTTTCAAATCGATCGTAAAATTTCGAGAGAATTCGCCCGATACCAATGCATAAACCACCTCGCTGTTTCGCGTCCCTGTAAAATGCAACGCATAGGATACGTGAGAGATGTGATATTTTTAACAGACGTGTATGTGTGCGTTTATTTATGCGTTTATATTTGCTTTTTATTTATGCTATCGCTAACCGTTTAAATCGATGTCAAAGGCTTCGACGACGAGGGGAGACTCAAAGTGATCCTCATTCTCCAACAGTACTGCTTCGTATCTGTTTTGCAGGAACACAGGTGCGTTGTCGTTGACATCGTCCACATTAACTATCAATTGTGCGGCATTGCGGTTCCCCTTTCCGAAATCGTCTCGAGCCTCGACTGTGAGATAATGACGAGCTACTAATTCTCGATCAAAATTGGGCCCGGAATGCTTGACTGTTATCACACCGGTGAGGGGATCCATCTCTAGTCTGCGGTGAAACGTTACTTGTTCTCGTAAACTACAATCTTTGTCGCGATTCTATTTTATTGATTTAATCTTTGTCGCGATTCTATTTTATTGATTTAATTTTTGTTTATATTTTATGGAATCGTCCTTAATTCTTCATTTAGTTACACTAGACAACAAAAAGTTTTTTTCGGTATATACTCTTCGAAAAATAATCCTGATAAAGCTGATTGCTTATTAAAAATGAAAGTCGCGTTGCCCAGAATTGTAATAGCATTTGTAATTTATTATCTTACGCATGTGCAATGCTACCGCCTAAGGTTGTATATCGTATTCCATGCGTTCCGAAGTTATCGCTATCTTCGTCCAAAGCCTGTACCCAAGCCACGGTGGTGCCTTCGGCACAATTTTCCGGGATCGAGACTTCGTAGACACTCTTCGTAAATTCAGGATAATTGTCATTCTGATCCTTTATAAAAACCGTAACCGGTACCGCGCTATACTTCGGCGAGATAGGTGTAACTTCTTTCGCGACGAGAGTAAAGTTTACCGCTGCAACAAAAACAAGTGCACGAAATCAAATTTATATAACAGTGTAAATAAAATGTAAATTAAATTAAATTATCTGTTAACTGTTAATTATCTGCTATTAAGGTACGACTACACCGTACCAAAGATGGGACACTAAATTCATAACACATTCTAGCTGAATCAACAAAAAATTACAGAAATTAATCAAGAAGAAATTACAGAGCTGTTCCTTCATACCTGATATTTTTTCAAAATCGAGCTTACTGGAATCCTTAACGCGTATCAAAAACGGTGTCTCGTTAATCCCACGAGATGGTGTTACATCAAACATTCCACCATCACCTTTGACAAATATATGAAACGTGCCATTGGAACCCTAAAAAGAATCAGCATTTTCTCGCAAAAGATATTCTTAAAATGAAAAAAGGAAGAAATGAATATTATTCTTTGTACAAATATAATATTTTATTATTCTTAAGCTTTATATATTCTACTCTATTGAAATTAAAATCTTAAAAGCGCAACATGATTATTTTATAAAAAACGATCAAATTGAAATTTTTCTTTTTTTCTTTTTTTCCTATTATTGTTTCTTTTCGCTTGTAACTCAAAAGCTATTTGCTTCATTGCAAGTTAGTGAAGAAGAAGAAAAAAACGATTCCTTTATTCTTTCTTTTTTTTCTTCACAAAGTCAAAGGAATGATCTTGCCGTCGATAAAGTGGAAATAAAGTAAAATGTCGCATTAAACGTCGTGATTTCTTTCGAACTCACCAAGTCGTGATCAAAAACTTCCGGCACGGCATCACCGAGGAACGTGACCGGCGTATTTTGTGGTGCGTTTTCGTTTATTTCAGCACGGTAGAGTTTACTTCTAAACGTTGGTGTTTCATCGTTCACATCAGTGAGGATGATGGTGACTTCGGTACTGACGGATGGCGGTGGATTGATCTTTGACACTTCTTTCACTGTAATTTCCAGAATGAAAGTACCATCGCTATTTTCGTCGGCTTCTCTATCCAACTGTGCCCTGGTGAACACAAGGCCGGACGTCGCATCAATATCGAACAGATATCTCGGCCCCTCTGTGATACTATATGTCACCTTGTTATTTACCCCCTTGTCGCCGTCTACGGCACGAACTGCAACACAATTTACCATTAGAGTTTATCTAATGTAGAGTACCTCTTCGAAGTACAAACAATTGCTTTTTCCATTGGATGTTTGAAAATACCTCAGAAAATTATTAAAAAATATAGCATGTATATATATCGATATATTATGACATTTAACATCCCTATCAATTTTTATCTTTCTTTATATAGTGACTGAACCTACCATAAATAAATTCTGTTATTCGAGTTTTCTGTTATCATATTAACGAGTTACAATCACGGTTAGATCGCGTTTAAACGTAAAGGAAATAATTCCGCTTGTATTTATCTTAATATGTGTATGTGTAATCAATATATCAGAATAATCTTCTTATCTCGTGCGTGTGATTGAATCAGACGATGTAATGCTGACCTTGCAAAACAGATGTACCAATCCTGGCGTTTTCGCTGATTCTCGCCACAGGCGTCATGGCTATGAATTCCGGCGGCTGGTCCTCCACATCCTGTACTTTGATCAAAATCGCAGTCGTTCCTGTGTTTACCTGAAATAATTAAGTATAAATAAACTACCTTATACGCAGGAAATTGCTTCATGTAAGTAGCTGAACGTAGATAATCGTCTCCTGGCATTGTTCAACCTTTATTGCGTTTGTCTTTGCAAAAAAAAATTATTGTCCGTAGATTTTATCTACAGAACATGTACGTGTTTGCGTATGAAAAGAAATGCACAAGTAAGTTTATGAAATTAGAAGATGCACATAACAAAATAAAAACTGATAAAAGTATTTTACTGTTTCAGGGTGTAAAATGGATTGTTTTTGTACACGTATAGATGATACGTGAAACCACTACAAAAGCTCAATTAGTATTTACGCACTAAATTATATTTTTGTCTAAATAATCCTGCCATCTTAGAAAATGTTTCAAACGTTACTTTGTAGAATTAGTTATTATCTTTTTTAAGAAAAAGGCATTCAGGTCTTTAAATATCAGAACAAACGTGATATTGTTTTAATAAAAAATATTACAGAAAGAGAGACACAGTCAATATATATAACATAAAATTTCATTCATTTTAATAATAATAGATTTGATATATAAAAAAATACTTTTTCGTTTATTGCGCGATCCACAGCCAAGACTCTCAGTTGGTATAGATACTTCCGTTCGTAATCCAACGAACCGACTAAGCGTATGACACCCTTGCCCTGCACCGTTGATATACTGAAGATGTTGTTGTCGCCATCCAGTTCTTGCAGGTAATAAACTACTTGCCCATGAACACCCAGATCGGCGTCGGTGGCTTCCACCGTCATTAAATCACCTGGTCTCGCGTCCTCGCGAAGCGTCAACGAGGACGGATGTGGACGGAAAATCGGTACGTTGTCGTTAATATCCTCGACCACAAGCAGCAGACTCTGCGTGATGAAATTTCCCTCGCCCAGTCTGCCGTCCGTCAAGGTTAGCACGAGCGCAAATTCGTCCTTGGCCTGACAGAGTACAGATAACGTTCAACGTCGGATTACCTTAGAAAGAAGTCGCGCGCATATCGCGAAATATGAAGATGCAGCGTATTCGCGTGTCGTATTCTTCTGTCGAGCTTCGCGATATCTCCAAGAAAGTAAGACGTAAGAGTCGAGTAGAACACAAGGAATCTAAGCTGGACACGCTCGAAGTAGGTTCTAAAAATTGTATCACGTGTGCGATGATCATCGTGGCTCGATTGTATGTACTATATAAAATAATCGCCGATAGAAAGTTAATTTCAGAGTCGCGTTACTTCACGCGTGCTATCCGATGATAGCGACAAATAACAGCCTTGTGAAGTGGATCCTCGCGAAGATGATTGGTTTCGAGGTACGTCCGTCCCTGCCGTTGATACTTGAATTTCTCTTTAATGGTTTCGACATTATTCGTACTGTAACTAGCAATACCGTAACAAGGACAACAGGGTGAAATACAGAGAAACAATTCACCATAAAGAACTGCAAAAATTATTTACGCTGATCCGTGCGATATGTAGCGATATCTCTCTTCCTCTCTAATGTGGAATTATATTCTTAATTGTTTATGAGATAAATATGAATGATAGGGCACAAATAACTATAAGTTGCAACGATTTTAATTAGTATTATCTAGTTTTTCCTTGAGCAGTAAAATATCTGATGAGCGGGGTTCCGTTGGAAGGGAAGTTATGGCGCGTAAATCGTTCGTGCGAAACAGGGATAAGTACAACGTTGAGACCGACGTAAAAATTATTGCGGTATTCCTTCCTGCATTGTCTTCCTAGTTGAGTTGATCGACCAGTAACTCTCTAAACATCTCATTTAACCGAATATAGTTCTCAGCTATTGTTGAAACGAACAGTTATTAAGAAGTAATTTTCTTTTCGTGATTCTGAACGTTATGGCTTCAATAAGAATATTTCAAGAGCTAGATACTAAAGATGCCTAATTCATAATTCCGGTAAGTATTATTAATTACTGATTAAACACTTATTAAACGCTTTTTATTTTATTATACAATTTCCGCCACACTACGAGTAGAGAAAAAGAAATGTAGATTTTATAAATTACCTCTCTATCCAGTAACTTGTTCAGGTAAATGTTGGCTTCGTTGGGACTAAAGTTCTCAACTCGAATCACATTACTACCGGGCTGATTTCGAACGCCAAATATCAAGCTATCACCATCCGGATCGAAGCCTTTGAGACTGTAAATTAAGCTGCCTGCGAACAATTTCTTTTTATTCAGAAATATCCGCACTACATACGATATAGTATGAATGAGAAAAGTAATCAAGAATAAAAGAATGGAAGAAGTAATATTTATGAAAAGAACAAAAAATGCAATTGTGGCAAGTGATTCACTAGGAAGATTTCTCAACCAAGATAATTACGATATATAAATTTTCTAATTGCTCTAACTACTACTTTCTACCACTTATCTAAATACAACAATTTTGATAAGAAAAAAAGTTGTCGAAAGCCACAAGACGCGAAAGAGAGAAGAAAATTATTAAACGCGAACTTTATCCGCGTGGCTGGAAGCGAGCCAGCAACGGTTCGTACAACGGTGCTCGAAAGTCGGTGGGTGCGTTAAACTAGCAATAAATTTTGTGATCCGTAGCCGGCCCATCATGGCACCGACGCGTGTGTACATTAATACGCGCTCGTGCTCCTCCATCATGCGTATCAGAGTCGAACAAAAGTTTCTATACAATGGGCAAGTTTTCGTATGACTACCTTCTATTAGACGACCATTGCATTCTCATACTATACCGCTTCACAATTAATGGTACGCTCGAAAAGTGTGTATTTCGTAAGAGTATTTTGCAAATATCTTTATAATATAGCAAAGTCTAGGTACATCAAATATATAGACAGATGAAACAGATGAAAATGTTCCTAAGCTCTAAAAGAATATTGGATACATCTTTTAGAATACATCTTTAAGGTATTAAAGGTTTAAAAGATTATGATAAAAATGCCGTTTTTAATAATAGCAGTAGACTCTCATATACCAGGTAGGGTATAGCGGGGTAAATTGAATAGCGGGGGAATTTGGGAATAATACTAAGCGTTTGCGACAATTTCAGAAAAATATGATATGTAGCAAAAATATGAATATATAGCATGCTAACCTCAAACATAAAACAAAGCGCCTCATATTTTTCTGAAATTCGCAAACGCTTAATATTATCCAAATTCCCCCGCTATTCAATTTATCCTACTGTATCCTATAATTATCATTAATATACGGAAAAAAATAATTTACTACATATGGACATTTAAATATAATTCGCTGTGTTAGCTACTTTTTCTTTGCAGCAGGAACCTATTTTCTTGCTATGATAACAGAAAAGTCTGCTCCTACAACAAGAAAAGTGGCTAATGTAACAAATTTGCTAAAGATAGCCAACTAAACATAATTTATTGCTTTAGCAACTTTTTGCAGGAACAGATTTTTTTGTTATCATAGCAAGGAAATTGGCAAAGAAAAAGTGGTTAATACAACAAATTATGTTAGTTGTCCATATGTAGCAGATCTTTTTTTTCCGTGTATATTTATTTGGAGTCGTATCATATCTTATTCTTAAAAGAATTGTAGAGTTAAAAAATGACGGAATTATGAGTGTGCTTTTTAGAAGAGACGTAATAAAATGATCTTTACCAATTGGAGTCTCGGGTCCTTCCTTCAGTCTAAGCACGATCTCTGTTTGTCCATCTATGAGAAATCGAGGAGGATTGTTTCTAGCCGAGCAATGCGTCAACAAATATCCGAAAACCAAGTAGAACAATTCTATTTTAAAGCGGCTTCTCTTGCAGGATCGTAACAGCCAAGAGGATGATTTCGCTTGCTTATCCGACGTCATCTTGATCGAGCAATGCTTCTAATCGACATGGTCGCTTTCGCAGGATGTTCCACGATTAGATCAGCTTCCCGCGTCCTGAAATCGGTACGTAAACCGAGCGTGCAATTGCCGACAAAAGTATCGTTGCGAGTAAAAGTTTATGCTGTCGAAAATAAGTTAAGCTAAGTGGAAATGAGTGGATTAATCGAAAAGTGGACTGACGTGAATCAATAATGTAGGACAGAGGCGTAATGCGTTATTATATCTATATAGGTCACATATTTCTTTCACAAAATATTCTTGCATAGTTTTTGCGTTTCCCTTCTACATCTTTTCCACAGATTATACACACATTGTGTATGCATACATGTATATTGATCTATTTACTAGGTATATTTAGTTTAATAAGTAGTAAACTGGCATCCACGCTGAGCGGTTGCTTTCTCCTCGGTAAAACGTCGTCTTGATGCAATGTCAAGACTGCCTAGTCGTGAACGATCACGGAGATTAAACTGGAGTGAAAGCCTACCGGAAGAAACGACGTTTTCTCACGGCGCTTAAATTGTGACGTACGAACGCATTATGATTAAAAGAGAATGATTTTCCCAACTAGACCTCCGCCATTCATTACGCAAGGTACACTTAATGGTTCGGTACTCCTAGAATATTACACAGCTAACGAAGCGATGATATAATATCTTCCATCTATCAAATCTTCTTTTGTATATTAATCTCGAAAAGATGCGCGCCACGACTCAGAACGAATGAATTTTCGCGCTAGAAAATTACAAAGTTCAATTATGCGGAAGGATAACAACATCTCGTACAACTGCTCCAATGAATTTTTTAAGAAAATTCACCGTTTAGGAAAACCTACCCGCGGGAACAAAGTAATAACACGATCGCAGTTTTAAAATGATGCCAAGTAAATTTTCGTAGATTTTTAGCGTATTGCGAGAATTGCAAGAATGCACGGCGATGAAAATTTTGAAATTGTGCCAGCTGAGACGGTTTTAGTAAGAAGAGCGATTCGATATTAAAGCACATATCAAAAGAATCGCATTGCCGCGGAATATGGATTACTCAGCGAGTACACATTCGAAATTCTATTGAAAATTTTAATTTTTGAATCTCTTTTCTCTGCAGTTCTGAGTTTGCAGAGATTGATTTTTCGCGCTTCTTTTTTTTATATCTCCCATAGAACAAAGAAATAATATACATACTTTTTAATGGCACAAATTAATTCATTAATATAATTAATAGTATGATGGTATATTGAGGAGTAAGAGGTAGTCATCCGGTAATTTCCCGAGACATATTGAAAATTCGATTGAAATCAATTTTAATTTTTTAATCCCTTCTCTCTGCAGTTCTGACCGTTTGTAGAGATTGATATTTCGCACTTTTTCTTTTGGGATCTTCCGTAGAACAAAGAGAAAATGTATATATATTTTTTAACAGCACAAATTAATTCATTGATGTAATTAGTAGAATGATGATATATTGAGGATTAAGAGGATATCCGGTAATTTCCCGAGACAGCTGACTGCTCGGCAAGACAGGTAGGCGGAAGGAATGTTTGCGCTGACCCGTGCTCGTGTAAAGATTCTCCTTTAGGATAGCTTGACACTCAAAGAACACTGACTGAGCGCGCCGAACGGTGCTCCTCTTGCCAACAGAGTGTATCGGCCACGCTCTTGACTTTTAAGACTGCTAAATAACAGGCTGGCGCGAAGCTTCTCGATGTGCGAATACCCGCATATTCAAATACGCACGACGTACGTCCGCTATCTGATTTCCAGGCAAATAAAGACTGCTGCCTTCCACACACAGGAAACGAGTCGGACTGATGAGTTTCGATAAAGGAATCTTTTTTACACTCGGTAGCGCGTCGTCCGATTCTAATTAATATTTATGCATATGCTTTTAAGATAGTTCTTTGGAATTCAGATGACGTTACAATTTCTTGTTAGCGTGTCATAATAATTTAACATGTGCACGCGATTTTCTTCGAGATCTGCCCGACGATCGATATTTTCCAAATGCGAAGATCCCCGATCGTTGCTCGGCTTTATCGGCCGCGATTAGTTACACACGATGATTCACCTAATCCTTTATTATATTGAAGTGCAACATTTGAATACATGGCGCGTACGAGATCGCGTGACTCAGATACTCTTCGAAAATTAACTCCTTATAATTGCATTCACCCTCGTATCGCGAAGAGTACTTCGAAGAGATGGATCGATAAGGACGCGCCACAAACGAGGGATAATTTTATTATTCGGCAACGCCGGCGATGTTTTCTCTTCTGCTACTTCTTCTTTCATTTTTACTTTGCTCTCATAGCGAAAACTATTCTCGTACACCAGCCGGTAACCGCACCGCGAATGGAAACTTGCATCTGCATAAAGGAAGCTTTCTCCATGCACGTTGCTTCGAATAAAGGGGCAGTAAGGTCGTATTTCCAGCGGGGCAGTCCCGAGGTGCGTGACGTCATTTCCTACACCTGCCATGCATGCTTCCGAATGATAACACCGTCCGGGATATTGACATACACCATAATACTGTCTGTTGCCCGGCCAACCCCATACAGAATTTCCTCGCGTGACGGGCTCCCCCACACCATGGGCACATGTGAAAAGGATCCTTTCGGTGGGTGCGGGCACGCCAGTCGCGTTGTAATATTGAAAGGTTTGCTTCTTTTTCGGACAATATTCTGCTATAGACATGATCGACATAAGACTCTTACGGAAAAGAGAGAGTGCGTGCCAAAATAATCTCTCGGATAAATCTCCCCGGAACAAAACCTCAAGTAAATTTCTTTCTTTAGAAAATGGAAATTTTGCTGCCTCGATTTTGCTTCCTGTCGGCGAGAATTTGCTTGCTTTCCATTAATAGGAAGTGTTTATTTTGAAAACATTTCGGTTAACTGTATTATTTTATGCAACAACTATGAAAATCTAATTTCTTTTTGAGAGAAAAACAAATAGCTCGAGAACAGTTAATGCACCAACAGTCTTCGCTAACAAAAATTTGCGAGTTCTCGAGTTCTCTGTTACACGACGCAATTACAGTCGGTGTCACGACCACAAACAGATGCTTCTACCGCGAAGCGTATAAGTAAAACGAATTTCCTTTTCACACTGTGCTACGATGGAACGTTACTCTCGTGAGAACGAAATAAGCAATGTTTCGTCTCGTAAGAATTAATTACTATGGGACACAATGGCGTCGTGTGACTACTCAAAAACGAGAAACACGATGTCATAACATCTGCATAACCGAATTGATGTGCGATTTACAAACTTGCGTCATGACAGCATTCTCGTCGAATAATTAATATGTCGTCGTAAAGAAATTTGGGTCAGTGCTAACTATTGTCGAGTGATCGGTGTGATTAGCTGCTTTAACGTTTAATTTCGATTTCGTAATAAACGGAAGTCATGACACGTAATGAACGGATCGAAATAACATGCAGGAAAAATCCGCGAATAACGTGAACACTTTTAGTTGGATAATTAATAATAGCTTTGAAATAATTTCACGCAAAAAATATTCACAAAAAATATACACAAATGGCGCAATCTTATATTCATTTTTATACATTTAAAGCGCATGTACGCTCGTTTAAGTAGAAGCTACCGAGTAAAATATGAACAGGCCGCAATTGAGGCCTTTGCATATTAAGAATTATGAGCTCCATTCGTTCGTGTTTTACATACTATAATTGCGATAACGTCATTTGAATCTTTCCATCGAGTCTTCGCTTGTTACTAAAGCTCGTTGAAAACTGATGTGTAATATTAACTGAATAAAATGCCTGTGCTATACGTAGCACAAGGTCGGCTATCGAGAACCAGCTAACAATAACGCTGATTTCGCGGATTAAACTTTCGGCGGTGGTGTCAGATAAGCATTAATTGCACGTCAGATTCGTGAGATTCCGCACTGGCATAATTCGTATCAGGGTGTCGACTGTGATGGACGTGCTGTCTGTCAATGTCACGTTTTAAAAGTTCTGCGGAACTTTCTAAAAAAATTGCGAGCCTCTCCGCCCCTCCGCAGGTCATGCGAGCCCGACAAAAGGGACGGGATATTGAGATATGAAAATGAAGAAGGTATCAATGGATTTTATAACTGCCGCGCGAATATTTTAATTGCTCGAGCTAACCGATCGATAAGTTTTCTCGTGGAAGTATTTTCTCATCGCGAGCCGAACGTATCCCGCCGAATCGTTAAGTAATATCTTTCATCGCGGAGAGAAATACGAGTCTAATTATCTCTCCACGCAAAGATCATCTCCATGATTACGAACATAATCGCGTCCGCATGCGTGTGTTTCATACTTACTGGAATTATCAGGATTTTCGAACGATGTATAGTGCGAGGGCGGGAACAACTTCGCTCCAGACATGAAAACGAACGTCTCTATTTGCACAATTGTTTTACCGTGACTTGGACCGTCAGCACATTGTCAGCGTAATCGCTAAGCGCGCCAAATGTATTCGCACGCCCAGGTGTGTCAGTTGTGTGTTCACCAATCGGGGGCCGAGTCAGGTTTGTTTTGTCGTCGTCGATGCTTTTTGCGCTAAAATCGTCGACGTGAAGCTATTACCTGTATTTCTTCTCGAGCACATTACTGCATAACGATCAGCGCACTTAACCCTTTGTCACATTATGACATATTAGTATCCTAATACATGGAACACCTATTTCTTCATAGTTTTTTCTATATTTTTACGTATATCATAATCGGTTTGTGCGATATATTTAATATCGTTATGTTCTTAAGAAATTGTGTACACAAATAACAAATATTTTCCGTTTTTGGGAAAAATGTTCAACAAAAAAATTTAGCAAAATATATCCAAGAGAAAGTTTTATGCGATAAAGGGTTAAAGTTCTCGAAGGAAAGTCTTTCGCGTCCGTCGTTAATTAAAAACGGAATCTCGCATGATCCAGTTTCAAAATTTGAATTACCTTGAGCTGATTCGTTTTATATTTCAATCACACTTTCCGCACGATATACGTAACGTCACACGTCGCTATCTCCGCGCTCTAAATGCACTCAACAGCTGCATCGCCAATCGAGATCGCGTTTCTCTCATCTTCGATCGCGCGAATCAAGGTATCGACGGACTCGTTCGTCTAATTCTCATAGAACTGTGTCACACTCGATCTCCGTGAGCGCGACGCTCACCTGTACGAGCGAGCTTACGATAGTAAACTGAAGAGGTTCGAGCGAAGCCAGCGTGGTTCCCGTCGAGAGCGCGGATCGTTGCCTGGCATTCGTTCTGTGGCGTGAGCACTGACCGTGCACAGAACACCACAAAACGTACGGTTGTTCCAAGTTAAATTCAGCCCGTCGTGTTCCCCGAGCCGTGCACCGGGGGATCTCCCCCCCGTCACAACCTCCGGTCACCTGTGCCACCTCGCCGCTTGCAGGGGAAGATATTCGTAGGGATAGTGGGGCACCGCCTGCGGAAAGTCGATCGTTGACGGGAAAGAGGCGACAGAAGCCGCCGATTATCAGCGCGATGGTTTTTTTGTTTTTAACGGAGACGAGCACGACCGCGGAAATCGTCGCGATGGTATTTTTTTCATCGGCACGATGAGTCCTTAACTTTAATCGTGACAGTATCGGAGATAATGTGAAAAGTAAAACAGCCAAAATTGAAATCAGATATTACAAAAAAAAGATAATTTAAGGATAATTTAGAATGTAAAATGTAAAACGAATTTGATCAAAGGTGAAGTGAAAATCGCGAAAGAAGGTATATTACTATCGTTCAAAATTTGAAAGAATAATCGGCCGGCAAAAAAGGGAGAAGAAAGGAAAACTAGAAGGGACTGAGGAAGGGACTGGTTTTTATTTCGTTTTGATTAATTTTTGTAACATATTTTTATTTATAATAATTCGGATTAATACACGGTATAATTGTAAATAATGTTTTATTTTATTATTATTTTTTAAATAATTGTGTGTTAACAAAGAGAATGCATAATTTAATATTCCATATCGTGACAAATGCTACGTTAAATAATGTAAGTTCTATGCAGATGCAGAGCAGAAATAGTTTTTGAACTAGACAATATGATATCAATGTAAGATTCTGCTTTACCCTCAAAAGATGCTATCAACAAATAGTATCGCGTGAAAACTAGAGTCTCCCGCAAGTTGGTACGAACTTAGAACGTAGAAAAATTCGGTGATCTATTGGGATCCAACTAGACATCTGGATTACCTTGTACCTACTGTGAGTTAAGCTCGTTGGACCTGACTAACCGGCTACGTTCATCACTTTCAGCATCGTACTTCAGATGTCGCACACTTTCCTGAAACCTGTAACATCAAGCACCGAGGATACAATGATTTTTCATATAGCGTATTATAAAACAGAAATAACAGAAATATGATAAAAATGATCTTAAATAGACAGAAATAGAAAGAGCTGAAAAATTCAAATTTGACAAAAACTGTCGCTGAAGATGTAACACGTGTGTTGACAAAACTGTTGTAATTTAAACTTATATATTCCAAAATAGATATTATTGCATTTTACACTTAAAATATTAAAAATAATCCGAATATTCTGGAAAATAGGAAATTTTAACCAATATCGTGTATTTATATATCCAAATATATAATACACATACAAGAGATATATTTCATTTTCGTAATATACAAAATATATTTCAGCAAGTTTTAATTATTTTCCTAAAGTTTACTATATTTATTCCGTTTTTATGAAAATTAAATATATTACAAGAAACTGGTTTTTCATGGTCTAATTATTGTATGTAATTGCTAAAAAGGGAAATCGCTGCTGCCTTAAATCCTACGAAGATCTACGTTTCATCGCTATTTTGCGACAACTCGTTCAACAATAGTTGCAATTTCTATTACATTCGTATCGATTTACATCAGATCCTTTCACAATCGTCAAATTTGTCACTGCCTCCATCAAACATTCTGCTTTGAATGTCACTTACACATTCTTGTCTCAAGGTTTTTTGTTTCAATTAGTCATAGTGGCCCGTTGCGTTACGTGATCTTTACAATCGTGAAATCTCGAGCTAGTAGACCTTGACAACGCTCATACGGCGGATCGTGCGTAAAAAGTATCATAGATAACATTGGAACAACGTATCAGGGACTATTCTGAACGAGGATGTCATCGTGTAGGACGATGTAGCAATAAATTGTCTGTAAATATAAATGTGCGCGGGCTGTCGAAGTCTCTCGTGTCATCCACTCTTCTACCTACGTCGAACCATTAATCCGGATATCGCAAGCGTCGCTTTCTCATAATTTGTTCCGTTCAAACTCGGCACATGTCCACAGAGAAAAATGAGAGAATAATTTTAGTATTGCCGTATTTCAGTATTCGTGTCTTTCCTACGTATCATCTCGCTCGCTCCTTCTACACATTTCGCGATCGGCGACGTGTATCAATTCTAGGAAGTTTGATTCTCCTTTAGAATTTCAACGATCCTTTGAAAACTATCCGTGACGTTTTTTGTTCGTGTCAAAAAATTCTCATTCCGTTGATGGTCGCCATTTCGAATCGCTAAAAGGAGTACGGCCGATGTATCAGGAGCAGCTCAGCGGAAAGGAGACGTAACTGTGCTTTAGTGCATCAGCTTTCCACATTTCTTCCTTCTCTCCTTCCTTCTGATCCTCGAGCAGCGTTCGCCGTTACAGCTGTTGGATGCTCTTTTAAGCGACAGCCGCGGAAGATAAGCACAAGGATAAAGTATTAACATAGTGCGCCTCTTTGCAGTTCAGAGTTCTACTTCCCGTATCATTTCTTGCTTGCGACAAGAGCATACACAGCAAGAACAGTACTCAAAGCAAATATATCGTTGAAGTTATAGCCGTCATATAATTCGTGAAGTTTAAGTCAACGTTTTTAAGGTCTACGTGACCAGCATGTCGTTACCGACTGAATTGTAAGAAAAACAAAAAAAGACGAGCTTAGAATTCGGTGCATGGTTGTTATAAGATGTTTATATTTAAATTTTCACATATTCCTTTATATTTATTTTAGAAGTTTATATTTTAGGGAGCATAATGTATTATTTATAATAAAAGAGAGATTACTAAGAAAAAAAGAAAACAGTGCAAATATCGTGGAAGAAGAACTCAAAAGATGCATTTAACGTATCGAGCTGTAATGTACATGGAGAGAATATTATAGTTTTTCTTCTATATTTTTTTCAATTTTACTGTGTTTTTAGTAGTCCAGAGATAGACTATCGGTAAGGTTGACCTCGCTAAAGAACGTAATAAATTTGTTCTGCTAGAAACATAGCAAGTGTTTTAATGGCACATTCCAATTCTTAAAATATAAATAGCACATATGAAGTGAAAGGACAATGAATTATTGCAGGACTCGATCTGTTCCCCGGTTACAAAGTCCTACAGTAATTTTTATTATAACATTCTCTCCGAGTGGTTTCTTGACGAGTACCTGGCCAATTGACGTATCTCTGTGTTACTTCGATTTTATGTTATTAGAAAACGTGCATCCAAGTGAGCTGCGAGCTATTAACCGATGTCACTCCACGTCGGACTGCAAGGTCGAACTATCGGAGTACACGTCAGGATACACATTGCCGGCCAAATAGGATGCGCGTTTCGTCGCGGTGTGGCGACTGTCACCCGATCTCGTCAAATATTGCCTTTGTATCGCTTCTCGTGGTCGCGAGCGCAGGCTCTTTTTGAACGATCGTCCACTCGCGGCTAAGTATGCAGCCTCGCCAAAGAGAGTGTTGCCGGTGTACCAGAAGAAGTAGTAGAGTCGAAGAAAAAAAAGCACACACATACACACAAGAGGGGGGGAGGGCAGCGGGAGAGACGTTGGACGTCCTTTATTCCAATGCATAAGCGTGCCTTGGTACAGGCATTAACCTTCCCTTCCATTTTCTCTCCTTTCTCTTTTCCTCGCGCGCCTCGCGCACCGCGGCTATAGTCATCGGATTCTCTTTTAGGGACCGTGCTAAGACTGCCAGATGAAAGTATATAACCGGTTCGCAGCTGCAGCCAGACTGGAGACCGGGTATCGGCCGGCGTGCAACTGGCAACCACCGTACCACATCTTGTGGCACACACCATGGCGCCAGGAACGGATTCGTCGTCCGTGGTTCCAACAGAGAGAGCACGTACGATCACCTCCTGCGGCTCGTCGTTTTAAGAACTCTTATCAAGCATTTATGCCGCGGCACCGGCGGGTCTAGAATACGACAATAGAAAACCCCGAGATCCGTTTTACGAGGAAGACAGGGGGTTAGCTGAAGTATGGACTCGAGTATAGCGAATGATATGTTATGTCGAAGGATTCGTCGCGCGATAATTTCCTCACGTTGCCGATCGGCGATTGAAATCGGTGCGCAATTGTTCGCGTGACGATCGCGTTAACGCAATGGCCTCACGCATTCGCTCTTTCAACCCTTCCGCGATTAAGAGGGGTATCCCTAATGCCGCGCGTCACGGTTGTCTTCTGCGTGTTACGCTTCTTCGCGCGAGGGTAATACGATATTTACATATCATAATATTATGATGAATGTTCCGCGAACAAAATTCGCATGCGAGGCTGCACTTGATACAGCCGCACGCGTATTCGCAATCTTTTTTCAAACCAGATTTTCTTCTCCCTAAAAAGATGAACAAACGGTTGAAGGAAATCCGCAAATCACCCGTGAAACTATGATCAAGCGACTAGATACGTGTCACAACAAAAATGCAAAACAAACGCCGTACAGGATGTCCAGAAGGTAACGGCAAGTAGCCACGTAGCGACGCTTCTGGAAATTAACTTCTCTTTAGAAGAAAAAGGTCAAAGTCCTTGTACGCGTGGCAATATTTCAAACTTTGATGTCTCGCGTTCCGATAGCGAGTTCGCCAAGTGAAGAGAATGATCGCAGCGCAAGATCCAGCTCGAGCCGATCGATGAATAATGTTCCATTATTCATTTGCACGCTCTTATAGCTCTATTTGCGAAAAGAGATCGGTTCCGCGCCGATTCCATTAACGTTTCCATCAACGCGGATTGGCTTCGAAAGATGCATCATCCCTCACCTCCTGTCGAGATGACCTGGGACATCCTGTAGCAAAAGCGATTGTCACAGCGGTTACTGGAAGAGCAGCGCGCCATAGTGACGAAAGATACTAGGATCTACGAGATAATCATGCATAGCGCTGCTCGGTTCATTACGTTTAATGATCACCGCGGACATGAGGCGCGCTTGATCTTCCATGACGGAATAAGGCGCGTCCTCTGACAGGATGTTGTATCAAAATTGAAATAGCACATAAGTATAACGTACGATCGGCTGGCGTGAGCGGAGATCGATCATAATCATGGAACGCTAAAAAACGCGCCAACGGCACCGATAAAGCTTCCCCATTCCTTGAAGCTGAAAAGCTCTCTTCGACAATTTACAATCTCCCATCGTTAGGTCGCTCCAACGGTTCGGAAGTGAGCGCTATCTCTGGCAGATGTATTTAAACGACACGTTCTCACCTATAAATCTATTTCGTCCGACCGTCATCTAATTTTGCGTTTTGCGCGATATTCGATCGTGCACAATGGAAGCTCCGAAATTTCGAGCAACATCATGGTACGCTGACCGGAGCTCGAAAAAGCGACGAAAAGCGGCGCGTTGACAAATATATTAAATTCAATCGAATGTCACACGAACGCGGCGAATAGATCCATCGTCTATCGCGACATTGATTGCGGACGAAATTGAACGAGTCAATTCCAACGAGATGGATGATAAAGAGTCTCGGTTGAAAATTTTCGGCCCGCTATCGTACGCACTACTGCACTCGACGCGTGCATGAAGCAGTTCACGAACAAGAGAGAAGGAGAGAGGAACAGACAGGGTAGAGAGAAAGAGAAGCGCAAAGAGAGAGAAAGAAAGAGAGAGAGAAAGAGAGAGAGAAAGAGAAAGAGAGAGAGAAAGAAAGAGAGAGAGAGAGAGAGAGAGCCACGTCAAGGTAGGAAGGTTCCTGCGAGGAGCAGTCGGAAGACGCAAGGAGGTAATGTCGCCCAGGTGCTCGACCGGCCTCTGCCGAACTCGCCTCCACCCCCTCTCTCTTCCGTTACTCCACGGCTTCTTACTCGCTCGTCACGACGAGTCGGTCAGTTCCTCCTTTTCCACATCGCGAGATCCTTCCTAGGACTACGTCCTTTCCTCTTATCCGTACGCCATTGGCCATTAGCGACCACCGTCCGCTGTATCATCGGGCCTCGGCGGTAAAGGGACCTCTCTTGCGGGTCCTGCAGGCCAGTCTTCCGTCGCGCGTTCACCGGTGCTCGTTTCCTCGAGTACCACCGGACCACCGTACCGGAGGATCGTGTCCTCCTCGCCATGGACCATGTGATTTCGACGGAAAACGACGCGTGTTTCTATGGTGACTAGCTCGAGTGTGTGTCATGTCACGTGGCTCAACCTGGCGATAAGAACGGTGCGAACGATTAAGGAACCCGTCGTCGCCGGCAGTCCTCTCGCAAGTTCCACGCTTGTCGGTCGTGCGTGTCGCCGATCGAGGTGTACGCTCCACAAGTTCTCGTCTAATTTATCGTTGTGAACGTTGTTACGCGCGCACGCGCATCATGGGATTCGTCAGACGAGCGATTCGCCGATCTGGTCGCGATCAGAGAGAAAGAGAGAAAGGTGACACTTCAGGTGCACGCGCCACGGTGATCTATCTATGATAGTTGGCCTAGAAACGCGACACTTGTTATGGATTGACTCGTGATTTTGAAAGGATTCACCTCTCGACCTTGAATACCGGATTGTCCTATGAACACGATAGCGCCTGCTCGTGTATCGCGAGAGGAGTTTTTTTTTTATTTCATTTTTTTCCCCTGAAAATTGTGTCGTACGCACAATTCCGTAGACTGTGAGTGAATTCTGCGGATATAACTCGCATGGCAATTGAGATTAAAAGTGCGTGTGACGTGCATGATGACGGACATATGATATTTAAATAAAGTGGGTGGTTGTTCTCATATGTTGCGCGTTCTCTCCAGTCAAAACTGTGTGTAAGACCAAAGTAGCTTTAATAAAGTAGTGCGCGCAAGCTCGACTTTAATTGATACCTGCGCGATACCGATACCGTATACTCCGGGCAAATACTCCTCGTAATTGAGCGTTTAGCTTGGCCGTTCCTCTGAGATTGAAAGGCCGCCATAGGGTAAAGATGTGTATTTACGAGTTTGTCTCGCACCGTGTTATTATTCCCATATCGTCCGCGTACGGGGCCACGAAAGTTCAGTGCGGCGGGTTCGCGCAGATTGCGACTCGCATAGTTATTCTTGCTAAAATACGTGACTCCTCAAAATCGAGTGTCGCTTTTCCGTAGGGTTTCCTCGTATGTGTACGCGCAACAATGGACATTCGTGAGAGAGTATCTTCATTTCTGTCCGTTCTTCTCTGTAATGGTAGACACTTCTCCGCACAACAACTGCAAAGTTCGTGTTACCAAAGTGGAGGTGTTATGAGAAAAGCTGCGATCCTGATAACAACCGGGTCGATAAGTTAGATTACGCGAATCGCCGCGAGTTTATGTGCGCTTCGTGCGATAATAATTTCCTTCCGTAAATATTTTATCGGCTGTCGAAACTTCTCGATACATATAACGAACTCCTAGATACACATAACGATCATCGCCTTTCACGATCACGTCACAATTCGGTCAGTGCTCTGTTCCAGACAGGTGACGAATGAATATCGCAACTGTCGTCTGATTTAACTAAAATCCGCCATTACTTGGACGCTCTGCGTGGTAATTAAATATTATAGTTGTCAATGAGATATCACATTCGGCACATAATGCAAAACAAATACGTGCTTTCTTGCGTTTCTTCCGACGAGACGCATGCTTCGCGCGTTGTTCGCCGCACCGAACTGGCTAACGATACAAACCAGTTGGAATTCCAGTTGCAAATGTCATCCTGGCTATCATACTAACGTGCAAAGGTCGACCGGTCTTTATTTCTCCCGCGGCCGGCGAGTAGCGCCTCATTGGAGCGAGACTGAAAAATTCGACTCGGCGCGCAAAACCGGCGATTGTTAATCGCTTAATTTAATCGTCGTTTATAATCGTCTGAATCGTGCGTTTATAATCGTCGGTGATCATCCGGCCAATTATCGCAAACTGTGATCGCAGTACTTGTGCGATTCAACAGTGGAAAGTTCTTCGACAGTGCTGTCGACGCTCGACGGATTTTCCGACGATGGGACTGAAGCTGCACGCTTAAACTCGAAAAGGATTACACCGGGAATGCATTTTTCCCTGGATGCATCGTGGTGCGTGACTACAGCCTTTTTTTCCCGAAAACTAACGGCAGGTGGAACGCGATGGTGAAACGCCGTTCATAAATCGACGTGCTCGCGCGGTGCAGAACGAAAACGCAGCGACAAAACGCGCGTCGCGCAGTGGCGTGGTGAATTTTAAAATAGTTATCCCAAGCGTGGCCAATGTACTGTTGAGAATATACGAAACCACCCGGTGCCGAGACCAGATGGGAAGTGATGTATACTTATTATGGCAGAAACGTTCTCGAAGAGATCCGTCGCAGCTAAGGTAAGTTTCGTCGCGATTTATCGATCGTAATCAAAATATATAATTATATTATATATTATCCCGAAATAAATATTTCGGGATAATTTTAATACTTTGACAATCGCACAACAATTCCGAACGATAAGAACGGCAATAATTAATCCCCCATACGATCGATATACAGAGAATAACGCTTTGTTGAAAAATCATTCGGATGAGACGATGACGTAGATTGCATCATGTACACAATGCGATCACGCATAGCTGTCCAATTCGACAACAAGTAGTCGTTCCTTTCGCGATGATCGCAAGCGTACAGCAAAGCAAGAGCATACGAACGCCGAAATCGAGGGAAAGTATCACGCTCCCACACCAGCTAACGATATCTCGTAAACGTGGCATTGACGTATGAGAGGCTTTTAGCTGACTACAGTTATTCGTCCGAGGCCTTTTAAGCGCAAGTCAGACGGGGTATGTAATTTTCATGTACGACTCTCTTCCTCTTCTTGTTCTTCCTTTTCCCGATAGGCTGGGCGCAACGCTCGTGACACGCACGCGGCCGCATGCTCGCGCATTTTGCATGGAACCTCGCACCGTGTGCGCACCCGTCTCGTCTCGTCCCGTCTCGTCTCGTTTCGTGAGCGAATATGAGCGTGTGTAATATGAGTGTGTGTACGCTGTAGGAAATCTCTTCTCACACTTCCTTCCCGTAGTCATGCCTTAAGGAAGCGAGCGGGTATAAATCTTCCCTTATTTCGCGTCGTTTCTCCGCTTAGAATCGCGCTGGTCCTTTTGCGCTCGAAGCTGTCTCGGACACATTGGACTTTGACTGTCGCCGTGAGGACGGAGAGAGCAGTGATCGAATATTAATCGACTGAAAGGACTTGTGCGATTCAAGAGAAAGGAATTTACACGCGTGCGTACGCAACGCGCTTATTATACACGTCTACGTACACGGGAATAAAATTAGTATCCACTTAAAACTGTAGTATACTCGAATCAACACAATCATTGTTTCACATATAAACAACGATATTTAATATATTCGAAGAATTTTCAAGTCCTCAATTTTAACATAATATTATAATTTTATTTGAATATTATGATAGTTTGGTAAGAATCACGATTATTTTGATGATTACTTCTTCCGACATATTTGAAGATATCATATTCTCGATCCAATATCTTCGACTTTCCATTCGTGAAAATTATTTTCGAATAATAAGAATATATTTCTCTTTGTTGAATCATATAACAAGCATCGATGCAAGTAACTTATCTTCGTCTAACGCCATCTCACTTGAAGTTTATATATAAAAAATGAAGTATTTGATCAAAATAATGTTCCTTTTTTCTGTGTGATAAGAAGGAAGCAAAATTTTAAGCGAGAGGCCAAGTTCAAGGGTCATATCGAGTCGATATCGAATGCACGATACTGCAATGCGTCGATATAACCGGGGTTTCAATTTTACACGTTTAAAATTTTATTTCGCTGGTATTTGCAGAGCAGTAAATAATGGATAATGGCGTCACACGCGCCAATCCGCATAGCGCGAAATCTCGTCGCTCGTCGCTCAATCGATGTCGCCAAATCGCGTGTGCGCCGTCGTGCTTTATTCCGTTTCGAAAAAAACGCTTCTATTTTTGCTCTGTTTCGCTAGCCGGCGCGCGTCGATCCTATTAAAACGCGAAACATGAAAAAGCAATCTGCGACAGGGAAAACACGCTTACGTTTATAGTGGCGTGGCTCTCTATCGGCGTGCTTTTATCGGCGTACTCCGTCAGCGTCTTAAGAATCCACCCGACGGACTCGCGCGAAATTAATTCGCACTTTGCGGATTTTTTATCAATCATACACCCAGTCACGGCTCCGCCGTAGATCGCGTTTCAAATTGTCCGTGAAACACACGCGATTGTTCCCGCCATCCTCGGCACACTGACAGCACATTGTAATCGTACAATGCCGGCGTAATTTAAAACTCCTCGACGCGCGTGGCGCGTCCGATGGTAAAAGCAGCGAATTGTGTGCAACGTATTCAACCACTCATATAACAAATATTCGGCTCTTATCTCGCGAGGTTTTCGCCATTGTTGAAATATGGGTCATTTTACTCCGTTAGTTTTCAGCTCACTTATAACTTTTACCTCCTCGCGATAATTCAGAAAATTTCAACGCAACAGTCGCGTCGGATACTCATACTTGGTTAAGATTTTCACCGGAAAATTGCTAGTTTTTTTTAAAAATTTGCGTATAATTAACAAAAAATTATATCTTTTATTGTACAATGTCCATTTTTCTATACGCATTCTCATGATTTTGAGAAAACCTGCGCGGATTTACCCTCTATTTCGGCAAGACTAACCTTGTGGTGTAACATTTAATCATTTTACGGAGAACAGAATATTCCCTTGGGGAAAGTAAAAACTTCTTGCAACCATGATGAAAGTTCAAGTTCGCGATAAGCTTTCCGGAGTTCCCTGCTGTATCTCATCCGAAAGACAAGGACTCGAGAGTGGCGCTCTTTCAAAAATGAAAGTTCGACTGTAGAAGTGAACTGCAATGAAGTACAGCGATTTCTCAATCATACGATCCTTATGAGCGATGATTCGATTCTCGTTACGTGATGCGCCACTTCGAATCATTAAAATGCTGCGCACGTTTTACGCAACGTCCTTTCTATCCTGCGTCAGTATTCTCCGTCACGACTCCAGTGACGGAGCGCACGAAAATGTCAACAGTTACAACGTGACCACGCTTGGCAAGCGCGGCGAACTATGCAGACTCGCGCGCGGATGCAATTTCGCTCGCGATAATGCAACGAATACAGTTATTATCGCTGATAACTGACGCCTCGTTCACGGTCCTGCTCACGGCGAAATCAACTCGGGCGAGAATTCAAGAAGCTTTTATTCAAGCAGACACAGCGCATTCGATCGCTATCTGTACTGAGTGGAAAAGATGCTGCTCGGAATCGATGCCACTGCATTGAGTTCCGTATCAACTGCAATTTCTGCGCAGTCGATTCGTGAAAGAGAGAGAACGACGGACGGCAGAGATACGCAGTACGATTCTAAAAATTTCGCCTTCAATGTTATGTTAAATTATACATCTCGCGATTATGCGTAATCACGTAGTATTTTAATCTAATCGGGTGCCGCGAAGCGACGTGAGAATTGATGTGCTTCCCGAATCTCATTTAAACGAAAATACACGTCGCTCGAGTTAATTAAGAGAGAGAGAGAGAGAGAGGGGGGAGCTGCTCCTTTAAATGTCTATATCATTTGATAGGCACGTGACGCTCCGAGGAGTCGTGTGCGGTTTATCTCTAAAATCGACTGCGAATCGACATCTCTGAAGCGTGAAAGTATTCGGAGTCGGATCGTATGAGAGCAACAGTGAACAATGACACGATACGTTTTGCCTCTGGCACGCGGCGGTTAATCGACTCTCCCTAGTTCCGCATAATTTCGCAAAATTCAACGGCCAGTGAAAGTGATCCCGACCATGTGCGATATGCCTCTCGCGCGCGGCATAAACGGATTTACCGTTGAACAGGAATGACCCATTCGCGATAAATGTGCGTATAAAAGATTACAACAGCTATTCTCCCGGCATTCATCGGGGCACCGGCTGCTACAGCATTTCGTGATTCGAATATAATTTGGTGCGCCTGATAAATCGATCTAACAAATCCAATCCGCGAAAACTCACATTTTCCGCACAAGTCGCGCGCAAACAAAAAAATATATAACCTTCAAATTAATAAAAGAATCGCTTCTTTAAATTGCCAAATCTTTTAATATTTTCCTGAAAAATCGATTGTTTCTCTCTTTTTCCATGGAACAGAAAGAATTGTTATTGAATTGAAAATTGAAATAATATGTATTTGTGAAGTAATATTATTCGTGTACGGAACTCAACGAAAATAGAGCGAACGAATAGCTCTGAATAGATCGCGAAGTGCGATTTTAAAAAGGCGATTTACCGTAACAACCTTCACTAATATGAAAACGATCTTACAGCCATTGGTCGATATTCTCGCTGGCCTAATTGTATATTTAAACGTGAAAAACTGCAACAGGTGATTATTATCGTTAATGAAACTCGCTCGGCCACGGAATATGCTGGTTTTCGCGCGCTCGCGGCTTCCCGACGAAAGTGGAGCAAGTGTTCTCGGCCCGGCGGTAGGGCGAAATTAGGTACTCCACGGTGCTATAGTGACGAAAATTCCGTCAACGAGCTCGTTAGCCGCATGCTGCAATTTCGTTGGTACACGATGAGAAACGGGAAGAGTTAGGATTACTATCCCGCAAGATACGCCCGACCTCGCGCCATCGCTTGTCGGCGTACAAAATGTTGAGCAATTAATGAAATACGCCATTAAAGGGATGAATAAGCAATGGTTATGAAAACAAGGGCATGTGAGAAGGTAGATTGCTAATAACTGGGAGGAAGATTTGACGCGCGCGAGAGGCATATCGCAAAGCGTTGTTAGCTAACGCAGCGTCTACGGAGGATCATAGTTACTAAGAAATGTCGAAAGTCACATCCGAAATATTTGATAGTGTACAGGTGGGATTTCCTGTTACGTTTGGACTTTGCCACCGTACGTCTATGTGTGTATGCGTTATGTACCAATGCTGATCAAATATTCGAATCATCCTGTCCTCTATTTTTGGAATGCTGCACACAGAAGAAAAGGATATTTTTCGATCCGAGCAGCATCTTTTCCACTCAGTATAGATAGCAATCGAATGCGCTGCATCTGCTTGAATAAAAGTTTCTTGAATTCTCGTCCGAGTTGATTTCGCCGTGAGCAAGACCGTGAACGAGGCGTCAGTTATAAGCGATAATAACTGTATTCGTTATATACTATCGCAAAATTGCAAATATCCCGCCCTGCACTTTTGGAATGCTGCACACAGAAGAAAAAGACATTTTTGTTTGGAAGATATCACTATTTTTACGGGTTAATTTCCAAATGAGATTACATAGCGTTAAACAAAGATAAGTTACTTGCATGAATATATCTTATACGATTCAACGAAAAAAAATTTGTGTTCTTATTATTCAACAATTTTCATTTAACAGATTATTCAAAAATTTTTATTTAACGGAAAGCAAAATATTGGATTGAAAAAATAAGCAAAGATTTAATTTTGCTAGAAGAATTTTATCGCCTTAAATATAAACAGTTATTATTGAATTGAATATAAAGTATTGATGCAAGTAATTTATCTTAATGTTATGAAATCTCGTTTGAAAATCAATATGCAAGAAATAAAAATATTTCCCAAACAAGAATGTCCTTTTTTCTATACGGAATACCGCACATTGACGTGAGCTACTTTCCGCGTTAAGAATTCCAATTCGACGTAAAAGTATTCCATTTCTTTGCAGCTACACGATCACGCGATTGTTATCGCGACGGGTTATTTTGATTTGAAACAGTCTCTCGGATACATGGGAGCTCGTAGTAAGCCCGCTTTACGGTACACCTTTAAATCGCGTATCGCGGTATTTCGCAGTGTCATTACATCACATGGCGTGTATTTACGCGCACCGGAGAAGAGAGAGACGCGTATCTCACAACTTCAGTTATAAGCGATCGAATAAAATAACCAATGTATTTCGCCACCGTAAAATATATCGTGGATTTATGGTGGCGTAATAATCGTAACGATTCCTCACTGGCAGAGCCTTTGCGCCACCGGGCGTCGCGGCAAAACGGGCCACTACATTCTTCGATTGTCGTGATCGTTCAATCGATTCATTTTAACGCTCGTTTTAATGCCTGCATGATATTAGCACGGTCGATTGCTCCCGCGCCGGTGGAAGTGCGGTAATCGCGGAACAGCAGCAACGCTGTTTGCGTGGCGCGACGCGGAATCGGCTTTTATTAAAAAAAAAAAAAAAACACACGAGATGATAGCGAAGAAATTACGCGCACACGGGATAACTGGTTTTAATCTATAAATGGACGTATCTCGAGGAAAAAAACATTCAGCTGAAACAATTTAATTATTGATTAAAAAAGAGCGAGAGGATTATTTTAATGGATGTAACATAATTTCGATGTGAGTAAAATTATTTTCGAAAGTTATTGAGAAATTCGATTGAATTCGCGTCTCTGTTTAGCGTCCGCATCAGCTTTGGCTCATAAATGTCTCAGGTCACACGTGTTAAAGCAGACTGTTCCGCGTGTAGAAGATATCATGAAATTTTTCGCGGTTGTGCTGGGAATTTAAGAATAAGAAGAACGCTTCTAGGCACAGAATGCTTTTTTCAAGGCATGAATATTTCCATTCGACACGTAGGGGAGTGTATTTATATGCAACAAACCGTCTTCCACTGTGACCCGTTGGAGGATCGTATTTCTTTCCTTTTCCGAACATAAAAATACCGTAAAAAATACTGCGTGTCTTCGCTTCCCGATTCCGACCTGTGAGCAATTAGAAGGAACAAGAGATCACTTCGCGTCCGGTATTCACAACAACAGCTACAGCAGTGCTATTTTAAAACATCTATGGAATTCCTGGCGAGTATTTCATCCGTTTCTGCAGTGGTATAATATTTCAGGAAAATCCCAGCGATTCCGAGAGGAGATCCTACCAGAGACAAGTTCGACGAAACACAACAATGAGAATCATCCGGGTGAATTAAACGCGGGATTATGTTGCGGTACGAACATGCCGATCAAAATGCTGGCAGCATGAAAGATCTGCAAGCTCAGGTACCGCGATGGAATCGTAAATTACGTGCATATTTCACCGTACGACCATACAACTTTCTTTCTCTTTCCCTGTCAAATTCCCACTCGTTTGTTCATTTATATCTTCTCTCTTTTTCTCTCAAAATTTTAACTCGAATTATATATAAAGTAATTTATCTTGCAAATACTTAGCGTTTACCGATGTTTTTGCTGCAAGTATCGTGTGAGGAAAATTCTGTAAGCGATCTAGCGCGAATAGTTTCCAGAATCATTGATTCGAAGAATATCTTTAAAATGGCGTTGGAGACAGAACGGAAAGGAAAGATACAGCATACGTAAACCGACTCCTATGAACGCATAATTGCGTTAGACACTATTATTTATTACGTCTCTGAAATCTACCCCCTAGTGCTTTTATTTATCGTCGTTATATGGAGGGTCGCTATTTTTATCGATCATATAATCGACGCGCGACACGTTTGACCGGACGGCAGAAATGCCCCTTTTGCCGGAAATATGAAATTCTCTAGCATTCTTTATTTATGAGAGACATTTTTTCGTTCTGGATACTTTCCTGATCCCGGAAACGTCAAGAGTTATTTGCAGATAATAGACAGACGTGTCAGATTCACGTTGACCAATCACTTCGCAACAGTCGTTGAATCGACTTCACGTAAAATACTCAATTATTAACGTCTTCTTAGTTATTGACATTTTAAAAAGATCACCTGGTTCTTCATGCGATCAGCATTACAGTTAAATCTCTTGTCTGCATTCAATAATTCTAAGAGAGAACTTCACAATGAAGACTGAATAATCCAACACTAGTTGCAAGAAAAACCAAACTTTTCCACACGGAGAAATTTATATTTTGGGAGCACGTATTATTTACAATAAAAGAGAGAAATAAAAAAAACAGTGCAAACATCGCAAGAACTCAAGTGATGCATGTATATTTAACGTGTCGAGTTGAATGTACATGGAGAGAATATTATAGTTTCTTTCATATAAATTCTTTCCAATTTTGCGGTGTTTTTAGTAGTTCAGGAATAGATTATCGGTAAGGTCCATCTTGTTAAAGAATTTAATTGAAAACAACTTCATTAAAAATAAAGTGTTTTAATAATGCATTTTAGCTCCTAAAATATGTTAAGTGAAGAGAGATAATAAATTATTGCAGAATATCGATCTATTCCTCAAAATTAGTATACTAAAATTCTCTCTATTATAAAATTTCTACTATGAAATTCTCTCCGTGTCAAAGTGTCAATGATTAAGGGAGATCAATAATTGAATGTTTTATCCTATTTTTGAACCGCGTTTAATATTATGTATACTTAGAATCGATAATACATCGAATTTGAACGGAAGAAAGATAGAGAGGAGTGTAGAATCGATAGAAATTTCATAGGAAACGTCGAGCAGTCTTCCTTTGAACCGTAAGGAAAGCGTTTGCCTCGATCAAGGGTAGAAACGAAATTTGGAAGATTTCGTTTCGGCGCGCGAGGGCAGGAATGATCGCCAGCCAAATTGACTATCGAACGGAAACGTCGGCGGGCGTAGGCGGAGGAAGGGTCGCGTTCCGGTGTGCGAACGTCCTCGAAACGGAAAAAGGAAATTAAATTCTTGTCGTAGGTTAGGCCGGTCTCCCTTTATTGTTCTCCACACGACGTGTGCGTGGCGTTATAGTTTTCGTGCTATGCGACGTCGCCGTCTGGCGACTGCCCGCTGCGCGACCCCTCGGACCAGGGTTACGTCGACAAGCCGATAATTATTTCCCTCAGAACGCGAGAGTATAATAGATATGAGAAACGTAGACGTGGAACAGGCACGAATACAGTATCGTTATATTAAGCACGCGAGAGTAGATGTACGCAGAATGTTAACATAATATGTGTAACATACACGGAGAGAATATTAGTCTTTTTTTCATATAAATTTTTTAAAATTTTACATTGTTTTTAGGAGTAGACTGTCGGTAAAATCTATCTTGCTAAGAGATATATTTCTCTAAAAACATAGCAGATTTTACTAAAAATACAGCGAATGTTTTAATAGCATATTTATATCAAGGTGCATAATGCATTTTTACAATTACTTAAAAAAATGTTGACTTAAATGCAGAAAAAATTACTTTCATACCAATGTTAGCATCTTTTTTAAGCACTCTGTATAAATAGGATATGGAATGAAAAGATAGTGAATGAATGCTGCAGGATGTTCACCTATTCCTTAGTAATTTTCACTATAGAATCCCCGCCGTGTAGAGAATATTTGACACACTTGGTCTGTTCTTTTCAGCTGCACTGCTGAACTGGTGCAATAAGTTAAAGTGAGACAAGTATATTTTTTCTCACTCTAATTTATTGCACTAATTCAGCAGTGCAGCTGAAAAGAACAGACCAAATATGTCAAATATGTTTGATAAAAAGCCATCATCCAATATACTTCAAGTTCTTATTGCGTGTCTCTCGTGGATATTGACAGTAATCGTATCTGAATTCTTAACTGTTTTTTTACAATCTGAAATTCATTTATTCGTTACTCTACAATCCACCGTTTGATACGTCTTGTTAAGTCTGTCAATAATCCCCTCGCGTTAAATTTCCGCGAGTGGTGTTATCGGACGTTTCCAAGTTCCCTCGAAAGAAAAAGAAAAGCATTGACAGCTATATCGAAAGAATCTTATCCGATGTATCATGTATACATATATACATACATATATATATATATATATATATATATATATATATACATATATATCGTTCTAACACGAAGTTCTTTCTGCCGTAGTACATGGGTTCGTTTCCTGTGGCGATTCCCGACATTGCCAGCCGCGCGGAATTTGTGCGCTCCCAACTGGAGATCCTCAGAGTAAGTACTTTCTCTCGCGAGATCTTTCTACGTATCCTTAGAAGCCGTTGACGATCCTCGTTCGGTGTCGCCTTCCTCCTCGCGAGGAATATCGTCGTTATTATGCGAGAACGTAACGAATTACGTCACCGAAGTGACATTGCTTTCCCCCCGGTGATGATGGCGAAATCCCTTCCTTCCGGTAGTGAGCGCGGCAAGACGAATTATATTCTGGCACGCCTCTTCGCATAATAAGGAGCAATAAGATCCTAGGATAATGGCGCGACATAGCAGCGGGCACCCGCCACTTTCGCCCTGTTTGTTTTCCCGTTTTGCATGCATGATGAATTCGCCAGTTTTATATTCAAATCGTCGCGCGATCTTCGCATTACGGAGGATACGCGGTGGTACACGCGATAAGCACATGGAATGAAGAACGTCTCGTTTTTTTTCCCCCCTTTTTCTTTTTTCCTCCTGAACGAACGCCGTAAGCGCGCACAGGATGACGGGGAGTCGAACGGTGGTTCTCGTGATAGAGGGAATTATTGTAAGCCTCTCTATTACCGTAAACCTAGTAATGACTCTCGACCCTGAAGGGATCAGCAGAATTTCGGCTTTGAGTTTCATCAGAGTTGAATATTTGCCTGCGAGCGTGAATAACTCGTGCCAGGAAGTTCCTACTTAATCCTCAGCGTACGTGTGCAGACGCTCGTGCGCGAGTATTACGTGAATAACGCGCGTTTACGGGAATGCGCCGCTACTCGCGCAGCACTTTTCCCGCGATACTACTCCATTAGGAGTATACGGCCGCATACCACGTTCTTTTTGTACAATTTTACCTGAACGCCCCGACCACGCAAGGGAGATTCGCGTGTGGAGTGCGTGTGTGTGTGTATGTGTGTGTATTACAGGACGCGATGACGTTTCTATCGCGCGATTTTTCTCCCACCTTACGACGTGTGTTTGCCAAGGCAGAGCCGTGGAAGCCGGTACGGAACATCGCGAAATAATTGTCCGCGCGTTAACGCCGGGTGTATCTCCATGGATTTAGATTTTAATTGTACATACTCGCGTCGGGAGGTTGGACGAAGGTGTAATGGCAGGTAAATACGCACTAACCTTGTTAATAAGCTTCTAATTACAATTGCTAATCGGTCGACTTCGGCGGACCGGTAGAACCGAATGAATCTCTGCGGACCAATTTTGCTGCCAAGATTCCCTTGGCATTGTATGATCTCTCTGTTAATTAGAATTTTAATTACTGCGCTGCCCGGCGCGCCTTTTTCGAAAGGCCGCGCGTCACAATAGAATCTTGTTCGGGAGAGAGACAATCGATTTCTCCGACTCGTTCGCGTAAGAACACCGCTTGACAACGCCTCGGCCGATGCGCGACTCGGATCTTCTTTCTTGCGGATCGAAAAGAATCGCGAATTCACAACAATGAAAATGAGGGAGTGAGAGACAGGATGTGAGCAATCTCTAATACGTAACGAGTCGTAAATTCGGCGAATTGCTTACCTATCTCGACGCACACACGATGATCGTTCTCATTGAACGCATACTTTTACAGATCGTTCCCTATTGTTATCTCCCATCGTAGGAGATCAGACTTTCAAAGAAGCGTTTAGTGTAACACGCCGTAAACGCGCTCGTACATTACGGCTCGCCCCTTCAACATTTATATTTATATGGCGACCGTAAATGAGGCGAAAATCATGCTCGGTTGGCTGAGAGACGCTCCGCTGGTCGCCCACCCCGCGTCAGCGGGGTGTCAAGCTCAAACTACAAGCTCGACGGCGTTCGCAGGATTAGCCAAGAGAACCAAAATTTCGGTTCGGGGTAAGCTGGACATTTTAAGAGGCTAAGTGGAGTTTGCCACCATAATCGGTGTTATCGCAAACGTGTTCCCAAACTTATTATCCCAATAGCTCTTCGAGCCCTCTTCGAAATGAAGTTACCCCAAAATTCACAGACGTTTTGATGCCTTTGCTTCTCTAATTCAAATACTGCTTCGTTGATTCTCACCGTCAAACACGTCGAGCTTACAAAAATAGACGCGGGAATTGCGCGTGCATCTCGATTTGCGAGAGCTTCATCTATATCGCGTCTACGAAGCATGTGAATCGTTTATAATTGGTCTTTCAGTTTCTCCCTTTACATATTTGACGGCATAAATAACTCGCGGATATGATGACCCTAGCTAGATTAGTTAAGTGGACGAATATCCGACGCAATCGAAACGATTATTCCGTTGACGTATTTCAGCAATTATTTGCACATATTTGCACACCGGCACATTTAAACGGAACGTTATGCTCGCCGAGAGATGGAATTCATTCGGTAAACTAATCAGTTTACGAATAATTGATATTACTCATGTAAATAATGCATTACACGCTAAACTCGCATCTCTAGTTGATCTCGCGCAACTTGTCGTTACCTCATAATATTAATATGAATTAATGCAATGATTCTTGTTCAATTATACACGGGATTTCACGTTTTTGATCTACGCCAACGAAAGATTTGTTATTTTTTGCATCGAGTTTTTGCATTCGTTAAAAATAGATAGGTCGGAAGTTCAGCCGGAATCTATCGAAACGAAATGAAATTTTAACGAATCAAGTGTTTCGCTTTTGCACAAAGCTATTTTTCACTTGGGCTGTGCTCTCCGTTATTTTATTCCTGTCGCATAAATATTAATGCTCGTAACGTCCACGGAACCGAACGACAGTAACAGAGTTTCATTTATTTGAGTTCAATACTGGTTTATTCGATGGCCTCAAGTGAGAGAAGCAGGCACGCGCGTAAAAGAGCGAGAGAGATTGGGAATCAGGAAACGGCCAAATTACCGGACATGCGATTTTCTCTCTGCTTCTCTTGGATTTTTATTAGTCGTAAAATCCAAGAGCAATAAAATATTATTGCGTGGTCGTCGCGAGTAATTCTATCAACCAGACGCAAAGTGGCATGAGAAATGCAAGCTTCATTCACCTCTCCCGCTGTGCCAATTTAATTTTCGGGCTTATTTGGACTGATAACGTTTCTGGAACCTTCTTTTATGCAGTGCATCGTCAAAATTTTGGCTCAGAAACAAAGCTCCACACATTGCTTTCGTATTGAACAATCAGTCTCCTGTGACAGTCGAAATTTGAATATGCATAAAGTGATGACCAGAAGCAGCCATCGCGCAAATTGTCTCGCGCACTGAGAGAGAGAAAAAGGATTGATCTATAACTAAAATTATGATCATTTTTCTCCAAACATATTTTTTTTAGTAAAATAGCAGTTAATGTAACAGTTAATGAGCTAACAAATAGTAAATATATAAAATTATTATCACTAATATTATAGTAGAATTTAATATAAAGAAATAGTTTTCTTAACTATAATTTATAGTAATTCTTTCTCCGTGTAATTACTAATTACAAATATCAAATATATCTTTCTTAGTGTGAGTTTTGTCATAGTCGTTCTCCCGGTCAAAAGACGCTTCGCTTTACGGCAAAATGGAAATTTTCAAAGGGACTTTGTAGGCTTTTATATCCCGACAAGTATCAAGTTGCAAAAACGAAATTATTCGATTTATCCCCAAAAAGTGTCGCCGAAGGAAAGGAACAAGACGGCAATATGAATTAACGGAAATTTATTTATCAAAGTCAAAACATTCGCGCGTACAATTTTGCCGCTCTCTTTAGCGCGAACGGATTTCAAGTGTCGGATAGGTTGTCAAAGCCACCTGCTTTAATTGCCAATTACATGAGATGCTTTCACGAGGTGTCAAATAGCGGTCCAAATTTTTCGCGAGATATCCGGCTGGACGACATTGCGCCAATACGTGGCGACCCAGTCGATCAACAGAGACACACCATACAGTGAATAAAGAGAAAAACCCGTTTCGTGCAAGACGATTTTTTGAAAATCACGCACGCATTCCGGAATGTATATTATTCCACCGCGCGTATCATTGCTATGAGTTGAAATAATTCGCAACGTTTCCGCAGATATTTTAACCTCTCCTTCAAGACATTCTACTGGATATCACGTCAAATTTACCAGCCTTGAAAATTTCATAATATGTACATTGCTTTTTTGCATATCATCGTTAATATTACGCGCGTACTTTGCGACGATATGAGATTAGCATCAAATAAATCGATCGCGCTGTAAACATCCAAAATCAAATCGATTCGGGACGAAGCGGAATGTAATTTGATCGGGAAAAATCCAATAAACGCATTCTGTAGTGACATGATGTATTGGCATACCATCGGTTTCTTTTCCTCAGGTTACTGCCTCGCTGAGTTATTAAAGCTATGACAAAGGCAGTCGTGTCAAAGAAACACGATCTTTCAAGGCACGCATCCGAGGGTCTGTAACCCAGCAAACTACCCAGAATCGATTTCACAGTCTCGACAATGGCAAAACTTTCTGGAAACACGTATTAACATCTTCTCGAATGAGGCAAACTAATGGTGCTAATCGTGAAACAAACTGATTGCGCTAATCGTGAGCCATTACAAGTTTCTCCTCCAATCTCTCCATTTATCCCCCTTTCCCTCCGTTGATCTTGCTTACAACAACAAAACGTTTTGCGACACTAAAGGTATACATTATCAACCGAATCGTATGCACGCACTTCCAGAAGATTTGTAAATCTGTGAACGCGTCACCTCTTGCGGAAACGATCCTCAGTTCCGTTCGAGTTAGAATCTCTTCGTTGCTTACGCATGACTTAATCTCTTGTCATCATATATCGACGAGTCGAGGATAAATAATGGGCATACATAAGTACAAATTTGTCACGGTGGCCAATGAAGTAGAAAGCGTCGCTTTCGTTTCGTGGATTACAACGAATGGGGCGGTTTGTCATGAGGAAGGGCGTCCTTCGGTAACCACCCTATAGACACGTCGAAAGGTCCTGCGAACGCACGAGCACGTGCGGGGCATATCGCGTACGTATATCGTATATACGTGTAGGTATCCATATTGATTTCGGGGATGCGTAGCCGCCGACCTCTTGCACTGACTCTCTCTCTCTCTCTCTCTCTCTCTCTTCTCTCTCCCCCTCCCTCTCTCTTTCTCTCCCTCGCCCCCTTTGGCATTTCGTGGCGCTCCTTTATCACGAAGAATCCAAATAAAGAAAGACGACGAAAGGCCTAATCTTTCGCCAACCCCTGGTTACATCGACTACGAGGGACCTCTTAACGCTGTTGTCGCGATTACCACGATCGGTACTGATTTGTAGAGGTGCAGTCACGAGAATGAAGAACGGGGCGAAAGCATGAGCGCGCGTTTAGGTCATTCATGGCTGGAACTTGGCGCTGAAATGAAATTGGCTCGCACTCACCGTGGAACAAAGGACGAAAATCACGTTTAACCGGTTCATCCTCGGATTACCATTCACCGCGAGAACCATTGGGGAATCGCGGAAAGTCGATCTATTCGCACCTACACGTCACGTCTCCCCGCAGTCACGACGTCGCGGTTTCGGTGTTGGATTACCGGACCACCGCCGCAGTCTCCGACGACGGCGACAATGATTGTCACGACGACACGTCGACGCTGCGCGTACATCTAGGTCAAGTGTAATTTACAACGAGCTGATCGTTCTCGTTAAGCCGCCTTCAGGTGCTCTGTGTGACTATCGAAACGTATAATTCCGACAGACTCGAATTACGACGTTGCCGACACGTGAAATTCATCTCTACGTTTATTCGCGATCGCAGAAACGCGATGACCGCCAAATAGATACGTTTCTTCTTGTACTTTGAACACCACGTATGGCTCATTCTTTAAGTTAAGAATTACATGATTTTTGGCCTTACGCGTATACGATTTTATATTTAATTGTAATTAAAGCCATTGAAGTAATTAATGGTGACCTTTAATAAAGAATATACTCTTGAATAGCAAAAATTTAGTAAAAATGTTCTCTGGTATGTAATTGCAATCGAAATAGCAAAAGCCGATAAAAGCCAAAAAATGCACAATGTTTTAAATAAATTTTAAATAAATAAAATTTCTTTATAGATCAAATTTTTGTAGACATGATATCATTTTAATATTTTTATTCATTCCACTAAAACACCCATGCACTGCCTCGTACTGGTCCTTGCTGTTCCGAATGTTTTCTTAATAGTTTTCAAATATACTCATCGCAAATTTGACAAGAACTTATTATCATATAATCAAATCAAAGAAAGAATATATTCTCTTTACAAAAATATTATAACTAAACTTTATCGAAGAAAAAGTCAATGCGATCTGTTGCAGTAAGCAAATTAAATTTTTATTTTAATTTAATAGTCTTGACTGAAATGCTAAACTTACTGGGATCTGGAATGTGTTTTGAATAAGTCTGATGCTTACGATGAATTCTTGATAGATTTGCGGATATGTAAATTTACAAAATAAATTTACAAAATAAATTTACTAAATTTAAAAAATAACTAAAAAATACTAAAAAATAATTTTACAATCACAGAAAAAATGATGTAGATACGGGAAGTTATCTACGAAGAATAAATGACTAGCAAATGCACGATATCGCATATATTATTTAATCAATATGGATGACAGAAACAGAATATCTATCTAAACTATTTATAAAATTTAACACAAGAAAGTAGCCAGATTAAGATCAGTCGCACTTCTTATAAAAGTGACATTGTGGTAGACAAAAAAGACTAACGACGAGAGACAAACGAATATATAATGCTCATACCCACCTAAATTCGCTTGCAGACATTGCTAGAATGCTGCTGCTGTAAAGTCTACGTGTACCACAGACAATTTTCTGGCAGATGCAAAAAGACAGCGATAAATTTTAACTGTGACATTTGGAATTCTACCGGCAAAACATATTATTTTGAATGTACGAAATGCTTGAAACAAGTAACATTTGCTTGAAATGTTACTTGTGTATTTTTCGGCACGCACACATAGGCCGCCGTGCGTGTACTCGCGGCATCCAAGATCGAGCCGAATTATGTATCGGTTCGGACGGGAGCGCTCGATACACAAAATCGTGCCTTCTTCTCGTCGCTGCGGCTCCGTCACCGATCGCTCGCTGAACCCTTCCTCACGGCTGGCCGTTATCAAAAGTACGCGCGCCTCTCTACATACAGCAGCGGGTCTTACGAGATTGCCGAACACGGTTTAAAACGATAGCCTGCCGGTGCACCGGCATTCCCGCGGGTCGTTGAACTCCTTCATGAATGTGTGCGCGCGCGCGTACCGTCCTTCTCCCTCCTCTTTTTCGTTTCTTGGAGCGAGAGACGATACGAGTGCGTAAGCGTGAGCGTGAGCGCGGGCGAGAGCGTGTCGGTGACGTAGATGCAGATGCGACGCGAGAGTGGCTTTTGGTACAAAGAGTTTAACCGTGGACTCCCACCGGCCGGGAGACGCTTATTTAAATGCGCGAAATGTTTATGCGAAAACGCGTTAACCCGGCGGAGTAACGATCCCGCGCAAGTAAATGCAGCCCAAAGAGCGGGCTCTCCCTCGTGCTCGATCCGTTCGTGATTATTTAGAGGGATGAGAAAAGAAAAAAAAAAACGAGGAAAGAGAGAAAGAGAGAGAGCCGTCTGTCACCACGATGGGATAAATCGAGCAGGAACCGCGCGACGCGAAATAACGGCCGTTCCCAGGCTTAGATTACGGAAACATATCGGCAAGAAATTCAGGGATTATCGCGGAGGTGTGTTCGGCACGAGCTCGGCTCGGCACATACGTCAATGCAACACGCCATCGATCGAAAGGCAATACGAAGCGGCTTATCTGTCGCTCTTTTTATTACTCTCCCGGGCTCACTTTTACGAGAGGATCCACCAGCCAGACTACCGATGGAGTCTCTACAGCGCTTACGGGTTTTTTTTCCCTCCTGCACCCCCGTATCCTCCTTCTCCCCCTCTTACTTCTTCTCCACCTCCTTCTTTTCCTTCGTCTCTTTCTCGTTCCCTCTGTATTCTATGTAGCTCTATGATCTCTCCTCTCATATCCCATTCAACCTACATACCTCTTCTTCTTCGCGGCGAGCAAGGTTTTCCTAGATGTAGAAACCAAGAACGAGCCGGGAGACGTTCGATCCGGGTCAAAGTCAAAGAGCCCGACCGTTCCAAATATTTTCACACTCGATGTGATTCCCGGCTATATTCCCGGCAGACGTCGGTTACGCCTTTTGCTCAACGATGTAGAATCGTCCTTCTCGATGGCCACCGCTATCAAGCAAGGCATGCTTGCACGAAGTCGGGATTTTTTCACCGCCGTGCGAAACCTTAGGTTCCTACGCAGAATAGAGAGGCACCTCAAGGAAAATCCGAAAAAAAATATAGCGGAGAATTGTTCTTATAAAATATGAGAGAAAGTAGACGCGCTGCTGTGAAAGTCGTCAAAGAAATTGAACCCGCGACTTCTATCCGTTCGTTTTTTCACGCAGGAAGATATGATTTTACTCCACCTTTCGTTGCTTCACCTCATTTTATTGCCTTTTATCGGATTTCGATAATTAAAATGCTTGCGAGAAGAAACGATCCCGAGCAGGGAAAGACGCGACTTCCGCATGAACCCCGGCCGTCCTAGACTTCCTTTATTAGCTACAATAAAGAATAGCCAGACGATATTGCCTCTCGTCATTGACATTCATAAATTCTCCCGTGGCGTCCCTCTATATTAGGGCCCTAAATTCTCAAGGAGTTACTTCAATTTCGCGCCCACTCCGACAAGGAATATGGGATTTCTGTAAAACTTTTGATTAGCATAACACGCAAGAGAACTTGGCAATTTTCCGGCCAAAGTGTTTGCTCGAAATTATACGTGCGTCTCATTTTACGCGCGTTTCGTCTAAAGAAAAGTTGGCACCGTAAAGTTGACGATCAATCCTGCACTTGCAATAGTCCTGTGATACATTACACGGTATCCCTGTCTCCTTACTTTTGTAGATACGTATACTGAGAAAAGAATGTTTGTTATTTGTAACTATAATGATATGAAAAAATAATTACTATAACATTAATTATAGCCAAGAAAACCACTTTTTTATTATATTCTACTATAATGTCAGAGACAATAACCTTATGTACATACATGTTACTACTCTGCCACTTTACTACAAAAGATATAGTCGGGTCTAATTACTATAATTTTAGTTAGATCGAGCATTTTTTCTCTCAGTATATAAACGTTAAATAAGCCGAAAGTAGAAGAAAAGGCGCAAAAGACGTTGACGTATTACCACTGTAACAATACTTTATATACGAAATATATTCAATCAGACACACGGTTGCCCGTAATGCGTGTGTATGAGTAACACACACACACACGACGTACTCAACGCGAAAAAAGAAAGAAAGAGGAAAATGACCGTTCGCTGCCTTTGTCACTTATTTGCGCGACACTAAGTAATTTATATCTTCCTCATCAACGCTATTATCACGACCGGCGCTTCATAGCCAGCGTGCAATAAACTTTGCGGTGCATTTCCATACGGACAGCGGAGATTCCCGGCCGCCCATGTCCGGCTCGTTGGGAATCCTTTGCCAGCGCAGGTTTATCCGCCTGTTCATTGTGAACGTCAAGCAAGCCGAGCACCACCGGATATTTACAGTCTGCAGTCTACGCGTTGTTCCTACTTTAATATCCTGTCATTGCCCCTGACAAACGCGGAAAGAGAAACGGCAGGCCGAGCAAAGAGACTGCGGTGGACGGCAAGGGCAGAGCTTAGACTATAAGACGACGAGAAGTAAACTGACATTGCAAAATGTGGAACACTTCAAAATGTGGAGCTCGGCAATAGAAAGTTCCAGGATCTTTCGAAACGTTTTCGACCATTGAAATGTTTCTTTCTTGCAAAATATCAATTAAATGTTTTAACGCTACCCTGAGGAAGTCGCGATAATTTGGTCGCTCTTATAATAATACACAATTGTCACAGCACTCGGCGAAATTTGGAAAAACAACATATTATTGGACATGTTTCTCGCGAAAACATTCCGTTTCAGTGAACATTGAGTTCTCTGCGAAACCGATTTGCCAGTAGGAAAACAAAGTTACGCTATATGCGATATATTGTTTAATAATCGATAGATGTAAAAGAATACAAAAAATAAAATATCGCGCTCGCAAATGTGCGATATAATATAACGTTACGCTTGAAGTAGCTCGGTAAAAGGGATTATTGTGGCGAAAGAATACGTGGAAGGAGAGGAGGAATTACGTTTAAATGAATTCGCTGAGTGATACGAGGCGCGATAACGGACATCTATACTAAAATACGCAAAACTCGGTGTGGAAATAGATATCTATAAAAGTGGAAATACAGCCCCTATCGACCGTTGTCGCGGTACGCCATCAATAAGACTGATTGATAATAGCGTAGAGCAAAGACATTTCCAATGAGTAACTCAAACGAAGCTATGGCGCATCGTATCGACTTGCAAACTTGCGAACATTCCGCACTCGTACGAAAGATAGAATATATAGATGCGGGAAAGTAGCCACGTGGGCCTATCGCAAGCAGAAGACCGTCTTCCTTCGGAATGGAGATCAGGACGCGATGTCTGTACTCTCTTCCTTTTCTTTCTTTCTCCCTCTTCTCTTCCTGCTCTCTCTCTCTCTCTCTCTCTCTCTCTCTCTCTCTCTCTCTCTCTCTCTCGCCCGCTGGACACAAGCCCACCCTTTGAAAGTATCTCAAATGATCTCGAATATTACGATGAAACTCTCCCGCCGGTTGGAGCAGTTCCATTCGTGTCCGTTCTGCCACACATACATACACATACACACACACATACACACTTTTCTTCTTGTTTCTCATGCCGAGTAGTCTCCGCGAGAGCAGAAAACTTCTCTCACACGGTGTTACCCGGCACAACTTCAAGGAAAATGGGAAAACGGCGGATGCCGTTCCCAATATCGGAATCGGATCGCGTGTGTATGCAACGATGATAACACATACTCGGGGTAATTCTGCATCGTCCGTAACGAATTTCCCAACGACTGCGCGATCGCCGTCGCTTTCTTATCACGGGAAACTATTACCCTCATTGCACTTGCGTATAACGAGACGGCGATCGAAGGAGGGCGCGAGATCACCGAGACACAAATAGATTTTCGACAAGAAGGAGGGATAATCGAGTGACTCGCGTGTCCCGTGAAAATTTACGTCGCATTCCCCGTAATAATTTGACGAGCGTTGTCCTTCGATCGTTGTGCCGCGTAGCAACGAGGACGATCGACCGTGTGGTAGCGATTCCATCAACATCGTGGCAATTTGTTGCTCGGGATAATCAAAGCGGTGTCATTAAGCCTCGCCACCGCGGGACACAGAGAAAGCGCCTTTTTTCCTCTTTCCTTTAATCCCACACGGAGCAGCGGTTTGAGCTGCACACGGCGGCGATTATTGCAAATTCATCGTGTCCCGCTGTAGACCGATCACCGTCAATAATCTTCTCATCCGCCGCGCCATAATTAAACCAGTTCTTCTTGCCGGCTGATTGGCCGTAGCTACCGGCGGAACATGCCATTAAATATTTACGAAAGCCTAACTATCCCGTCCGCCGTAATAACGCGCGACACCACGCGCCTTTTGACCGGCCATAGCCTTGATCGCGTGACGCGACGTGACGCGACATTCGGCGTCGTAACTGGATCTCTTGTAAGTCAAATCATAGTTTCCGCGACTCCGACTGAAAATAATTGCGCGGAAAATACGAAAATCCACAGCTATATGCGGCATGGCTAATAATACAGCGCGAATCAATACTCGCAGGGATGTAGAATCCGATTCGGTTTTGGAATAGCCTGAAATATCGCCCGAGACGAGAAATTGGCCGCGATGCTCGTTTCGCAGCTTCGAGCATTTCGAGCCAGCGTCGAGAAAGGGGATCAGACCCCGATGCGAAACTTCAGAATTCATCTTTCGCCGTTACTCCGCGAACGCGCTTTTGCCGCGTGGCGAACGAGGACGAACTGATCGAAGGGCGTATCTCTCGTCCCGCTGTGCGGAAGGGGGATGATGTACATACGTCGAGTATGCAGGGGGGTTGGTACGGTCGGCAGCAGGTCGGTCGGTGCCAGGGCAATACTTTGGTAGGAAGACGAACGGGGTGGCAAAAGAGGAGGGGACATTTCTGGAGGAAAGCCGGAAGCTAGACCCGTCACGGATTTTCTTTATGGCGAGCCACGGGGTTTCCGCACATCCATGGATGGAGAACGCCCTGCACGCACGCGAGGGGTCCAACGTCACGGTCGCGCCGCGTTCGCGAGCAAAGGGGTTGTAATATTTAGAGCGCAGACGTTTTTCTTCCTATTTTTTCGTCGATTTCTTTCAGCCAGACGCGATTCGCGTTTGGACTTTTCGTGGAATGTTTCCGGCTTTTAAGCTGGCACGTATTCAAGAAATGAATACACGGCCCCGTGCTCTCGCGCATACACGTTATGAGCGAAGAGAGTGACAGGTAAGACTTTTAAAAACTCTATATCGGAATTAGAAATGTACAAGGGGAGGAGACATATTGCGACGTTAGTTGGAAGTACATGCGAATCGCGCCACTCTGGAACATATTTAGAAACATCATTATTTGTTACGCGCCGCGAGATCCAGCGCAAAAAGGGCGCGGAAAAAGTTTCGTACCTCCGGTGGCCGATGCAATGAAAGAAGGGAAAGGTGGAGATAAAAAGAGAAGGAAAGGGGTCGACAGGTCGTAGTTGTGCTTTCTACCGTTTCCGCGGTTAAAAGGTACTATATCGCGGTTGAACACGCCCACCTAAAGCACCTGCTAAGAGCCTTTCCATTCCAGTTGGCGGTACGACAGCGTGTTGCCGACTTAAAAGGTTTAAAGAGCGCGCTGGTGTAATATATATATCGCACGATGAATGGTGATAACAGACCGGTCCATTGTCCTTGAAACGGAAAGGGTATTTCCCGCGTGGTTCAGGGTCCTTCGTAATTTCGAGTGTATGACTTGACTCGCGGATTTCGCGATTTCCTTCTTATGTGAAACGTCGCCGAATCGCTCGCTTATTTCTCGTCCAATCGAACGGTTTACGAATACAACGCGATGAGAGGTGGATGTAAAAACGAAAAAGAGGCTTTCCTTTCCCAAGGGATTAAAATTCAAGATTGCGAAAATAATTTGGTCGGATTAGCCAAATATTTTATGAAAAATGAACAAACCAGATTTCCGCATCAAGCTACAAAAATTCTATTCAAGTCAACAAGATTCCGGTTAACTTTGTTTGGTTTGACTTGAACAGAATTCTGGTAACTTTTCTCTCAACCAGAATTCT